AGCTGGCGTGGGAACTCCTGGAGTTAGCACGTCGGTCCCGGCTAGATTCATACCAGGCTTCATCGCAACCATTACAAGGAAGTCATTTTATGAAGAAGGGCTAACGCGTGGCATGCTAAACTGACGCGTGGTAGACAAGAATGACCGGTTTGTGACTGGTCTGACGCCGGTCACGTCATCAGCAAACAACCGTGCTCCCACGTTGCACCTGCCTCCGTCATCTGGAGGTTGGTATGACCCATCCCATCGGAGGGTCATTCGGACAGCAGCCATTGCAAATCTCCGCCCATAAATGAAGGAAGGACAGGGTTATCCCGGTGTGAGGCGAAGGCATGAGCCATGTTTTGGTCAAAGTAGAATGGGTCCCCACCCAAAAGAAGGATAGGTAGAAATGGTGTATGTGGTATCCCCTTGAGATATAAAAGGAGGACCATGCCTACCAAGAGAGGAGAAAGAAAAAAAAGGAGAAAGAGGAAAAGAAAAGGGAGAAGAAAAGGAGAGCTCGTAAAAGGAAGAGCGGAGCTCATAGAGGAGAGAGAGAGGGAGAGGGTCTCTAGAGTTTGAACTCTCTTGCTCTCCAGCTCTTTGTAACTCCTTCATACACAGATCCACCAGAACACAGGAGTAGGGTATTACGCTTCTCAGCGGCCCGAACCTGTCTACATCGCCCGTGTCTTGTGCATTTGCTCTCTCGCGAAACATTCCACAAATCGAGGGCTTAGAACCTCACCTAGCGTCCCCGGCCGAACCGGCAAAGGGGGGCCCGCGCGGTCTCCCAGTGAGGAGCCCCACGCTCCGTCAGTGTGTATAAGTAACTTAAGATTTAGGATGCTGATTCGGGATGTGCATAAAATACAGGGATTAACTCTAGCCATTAGCAAATCAACAATGAAAAAAGAAGAAGAAAAAGGGACCTCGAGGGACTGCCGCTACCCCCTCTTTAGTCCAGTTACCAACCGGACTAAAGATTCCCTACTTTACTCTCGGTTGGTGTTACTAATCGGGACTAAAGATCGATCTTTAATCTCATGTATTTAAATCGGAACTAAATATAGCGATCTTTAGTCCCGGATTCATAATCCCGGTTGGAAAACCGGGACTACAAAAGGTTCTAAATCAGGAGTAAAGAGCATTTCTCCACCAATGGATTCAGATTCTAATACGTTGCATGATACATGCGACCTCTACATTTGGTTGCTACTTCCATGTTCTGACTTGGGCATCAAGCTAAAGAGAGATAGATGGATTAAGATTCGAATATTTATATGCCACGTCTCGGCATAGTTCATACCAGACCATATGATCGATAAAATGTAATGATAATTGTTCGATCGGTTGTGGTTATTTGACTTACCGAGCAAGTAGAAAAGAAATACTAAAAGCCCAGATTTTAAAAGTCAACCTATCATTAATATGGAATTACTTCAAATTTCACCCCTTTTTTTAGTAATAGAGGGCATTCATGGTTAGCAACAATTCTAAGTCACTAAACTAAGGTTCATACCAAGACATCTTACTCAAAACGTATCTTGTGCCGTGTCATGCCATGACTTTAAGATAGGTACTTCCTCTGGAGCGATAATACTTGTTATTTTAGATAAAGTCGAGATCAAATTTTAGAATCTTTGATTATGAATAATTTTTAAAATATTTGTCTTTCAAATATGGTGAATACATGTATAGATTAATCTTAAAAAGTACTTTAATAAAATTATATATTTGTTAACCCTTTTATATATATTATAATGAAAAATATTGGTCAAAGTTGTTTTTTAGAGACCGTGTCATTGTTTAAAACGATAAGAATGAATTATCAACCAAGAGGGGAGTATATTTCTCTTATATATACTCCATGGAACTACTAGCCGTAATACAAACCTACTTGAAATTATTACTGGTTTATTTTTCTTCCTTAAACTATATACATTTAAATTGACGGCCGGTTGAAATTAGAAAGAGAGAGAGAAAAAAAGGCCAGTCATCTCTTATTTCCTCATCCCTTCCAGCATGTGGCCACGCCTGAGATATGGGTGCGTCGCCATCTTTGGCGGGGCGGCCGATCGATGGCAAACGTACGATGCGGGTGCGCACCAGGGTTCATGATTCCAACGAAAACCGGTCGAATTCCGCAAAATTTTGAGGTTTCGATAAGGCTCGAAAGTAAAAGCTGTCTGAGATTTCGATGAGTTTCATCCAAATTCAAATTTAAATTGATAAATAAAAGAAAAAAAATCAAATAAAATCTTATAAATAGTATAATATTCATAAAATCTATTGGATATAAATTTTCAAAAAAAAAATTGATGTATTCCGTGTATTTACTGAAATTTGAAGTAGGAAATAAAAGAATAACGAACTTAAAAAAAAGAAAAACAATTTCAGTTTATCTCTTTTTCTAGTTAATGATTGAAATTTCGATGATTTCGCTCAGAATTTCGTCAAAGCCGACCGATTTTCGCGAGCTTATCGGTAAACTCAAGGAATCTGTATTCAAATTTTGGTTTATGAAATTTGTTTGGAATCTACCGGCTTTTTATCGGATTTCACAGAAACCGTCGTTCTGCCAGAGCCCTGAAATGGAAGGCCATCTTAGAAATCGTAAACCCTGGTGCGCACTGCTCTCCCCTGCGAAGCCGCGGCCATGCATCCGGCAGGCGGCAGCTGGAAATTCGCGAAAGCGAAGCGAAGGGCAAGCCGCACGATGCACGCAGCACGCGGTGGTGTCCGTCAAAGACGTACGTGGAACCCACACTGGTGGTGGGGATTGGGGGGCGGAATGGCCGATGCACGGGCCGCGCGGGCGTACGTACGCGCGTCGGCCGTTTGCCTTGCGCGCGCGCGCGGCCTTTCCGTTCTCGGGAACGCGCGGGGTGGGTGGGTGGCATGGCCTTCGAGTTCGAGCCAAGCTACGGTGTCTAGCTGCGTCCGTGTGTGCCCGGCCCTGTCACCCGCGCGCTCTCTAGTCTCTCCCAGTGGCCGACACACGCGCGACGTACGTAGCGTAGGCCGATGCGGCGCGCGGTGCGAATCGAAAATCGACGTCGCGACGACATGTGCGCGCCACCGCTGTGTCCACTCCGGGAAGGCACCGCGAGGGCATGCACACATGCAGGATTTGCCTGCGCGCGGTTAAAACAATTACTTGCCGGATTTGGATATAGAGGCGCCGAGCTTACCAGTAATAAGTAGTAGTACGAGCTGTGCAGGCGGTGGTAGGTGAGATGAGCGAGCGGCCGTTGCCTTGCCGGCTTTGCGTCGCCAACGCCACGTGGTGACCCGGCCTGGGCGCTTGGCTCGTTGCTCGCCTCGCCGCGTGTTTGCTAGTACTACAGGCGAAGGCATTTGCCACGCTATGGTGATCGTTTAGTAAGAACAGGACAAAATTGTTTCCTTGCTGCTTAGTACAACAACATCAGAGTGGCGCAGCGGAAGCGTGGTGGGCCCATAACCCACAGGTCTCAGGATCGAAACCCGGCTCTGATAATTGATCTTTTTTTTTACTCCTCTGCCTTGCTAACTTGCTGTTCGCCTTTTCTTGTACTGAATTCTGCACTTCTGCAACAACGTTTTTGGTTTGTCATGCAAATTCTGATGTTTGGCAAGTTTTACTCCCATCAGATGCGTTAACTGGGTGAATCTGGATGAGTGTAATTTTGATCTTAATCGCTCCTAGTTAACTCGATAAATAAATGTACTATATGATTCCTGCAAAAAGGAAAACGATGGCATTGCTAACATCCAAAACAGAACCCGTTTTGGAGGGAAGGAGAACAAAAGAAAAAACATAAAAGTTTGTAAATTTTAGTTTAGGTTATCTTTTAATATTTTATTATCGGTGTCTCATTTTAGATCATTCTTTAACCAATATTTTCATATGAATGATTTCGAGTATGTCGGCTCCTATTTATCACTGAACTCCAATAATACATTTAAACTATTGTTCTGACATATGACAAGTGGATGCATATACATAAAATACTTTAGGGTGGTCCAAAATAAAATAAAGGTAAGATAACCCAATCTAAAGTAAAAATATTAGTTAAAAGACAGTACAAAACAAAACAACGGTAATAAAAAGTTACGCAAAGTGAAATTTTCCGAAAAGTTGTACTTCTACGAGTACAGATATTGGTGTGGCCATGATGAATTGCAGATGAAATCCAATTTCTTGATAATTTGTACTAGAATCTGGACATTGTCAATACTCCCTCCGTCCAAAAAAAAAAGGCAAACCCTGAGTTTCCGTGTTCAATTTTGATTGTCCGTCTTATATTAAATTTTTTTATAATTCGTATTTTTATTGTTGTTAAATGATAAAACATAATTAATATTTTATGCGTGACTTGTCTTTTCAATTATTTTTATAATTTTTTCAAATAAGACGGACGATCAAACGTTGAGTATTTTATGTGTGACTTGTCTTTTTTTTTTTAAAGGACGGAGGGAGTACGCAATAACTCTTTTTTTTTTCTTAAAAGAAAAGGACTAGCAAGTACTCCTACTCATCATCATTACTTCATCAGACTGGCAGAGCGTCTCCCTTGAGCAAATGACTACTAGTACGACTACCAAATGACTTGAGAGGCTCACTCCAATCCCTTGGTCCTTTCAGAGACCGTCCTGTGCCAACCACAACCTGGAATGTAGCGAGTTTCTAAAGAACGCATGTATCAAATGTTCAAATCCTTCATGGTGCAAGCCAAGAACACCATGACTACTTCCATTGCTTTTTAAATGCAGGAAGCCAGAACAGAGCCATCGTTTCACTTATTTACGGAATAAGCGAAATAGCATATTTGCAAACGAAAGTATTTTGTAAATAAAACTTTTATATACATGTTCTTAGCGATCTAAAAGCAAAGGTTAAAAAATAAACTTCGATGAAAAACCTTAAAATTTGCTCTAAATTTAAGGTTGAAAATTCAAATTTTAGTTGATAAGCATAAGCATAAGCGAAAAGATAAGGCTTTTCTTCGAGCTCAGATAAACGCAATTACGAGTTAGATCACCAACTCTCCTTGTTCATCATTAATCTTAAAAATACTAATTGTATCTTCTAGTTATTTAGAAAGGTCGGGGGGAAAGGTTATTAGAGAACTTGTTGAGATAATGAATTACAGTTCCATTGCATATCTTTGCGGCAAACAGAAGGATCGAGGATGGATACAGAAAAATGGTCAAAACTGAGCAGTAACACACAGCTCAACTACAGTTACACATGCACCAGACTTACTAGTAGGAGGGCGTGGAAGAAATCTTGTAAGCTAGCAGTGCAATGAGGGTTACTGTCGTGGCAAAGCTCACGGCCAAACCACCCCACAGAATCGTATCAACATCTGGGAACCTCCTAGCTGCTACATTTAGTCGCTGAATCTCCCCTACCTGTTTCGCTGTATCACTTTCGCTACTTTTCACCGCTCCTTCAACATTTCTTCTCACAAGTTTAGACTGAACAGCTTCCTGATGAGTAGCATCACCACAGGATTGGGGCGTCGAATTTTCGGATCGCTCTGGACCGGGATTGCATTGCTGTGCTGCATCAGAGCATGTGCAGGCACCACAAGAGTCCGTGCCGCAGCAAGTGGCTTCCTCAACCTGACTTGGCCTGTATTCTTCTTGCAGTTCACTGTGATTATGCTTCTGTGTTTCCTTTGCTACAACGGATCCTTCTATCACTTCACCAAACACAGACCATCTCCCAACAGATGTGATCTTCACATCTGCTGATGTTCCTAACATGCTATCAGGAGCAATGACAAGCACCTGGATATATCCTTTGGTATGTCCAACCTGTGCAGCAAAAGATAATTTCAGGAAAAAGTTTATGTGACTATAAATGTGGCAACTCGCACAAACACCATCGATGATAAGATTGCCAGCAATAATGACACGCTTACCAAATGAACACCATCAGTAGCTATTTCAGTGATCCATATCCTCTCTACTTTGCCTTCCATTCCTTGGTAGGGTGAAAATGACTCGAAAACTGAGGTCAATTCACGGCTCCTTTTCTTCACTTCAACGCTTGGAACCTTTTTCATCCTAGCAGCAGGTGTTCCTACAGAACACAAAGAAACAACATTATAGACAAAGACATGGGGGAAAACTGATGAAGAATATTTCTAGAAAACAAAAGTTAGAAAAAGATACCTGGTCTGGGGTAGAATTGTGATATGTGAACCTGAGGGAATAGATATTGTTTTACAAGGTTAACAGTTTGAGAGAAATCCTCATCAGTCTCACCTGAAAAATGGCAAGATTATACTTTAGCTTAAACTACTATCGACATCTTTGAATGATTTAATAAACAAAGATGAAGGTTATTCATAAATGATCACTTTAAGTAAGGTTGAATAGCTAAACCAAGATATTTATTTTACCGGGGAATCCACAAATAATATCTGTAGCAATTTGCATTCCAGGGACAAGCTCACAAAGAGTGTCAACTACCCTCCTGAATTCACTCACAGTGTATTCACGATTCATTGCCTGAGATGTATAGTTGTGGAATAAGTCAGGGCCAGGCGCAAACACTACAGATAGGTTACAAGCAAATAATTACCCAATTATATTTGGGTTTTATATCCATATGTTGCTGTAAGTTCAAGCATACCGTTAAAACTGCATCACTTCCTGATTGTACAGGAACGTGGAGGAAAGAATAAACACAGGGATGGCACAAAACACTAGCAATCTCCTTCAAATGCTCCAATATGAAAGGAGGATTGGTCATGCCAATGCGAAGCATCGTGCTTCTGTCCGCAGGAAGCTCAGCAGCAATTCCATTTAATAGATTTGGAAGATTTGTACCGATATCCCTGCCTGAAAACCTCGCAAAGTCAGAGGAGCAAATTGCCATAATAATTCTATGGCTTATCTCTCAGAAGGAATCCAAAAAGATCTGGACAATGGTATTACCATAAGCACCAGTATCCTCACTACTCAACCATATTTCTCGGACACCTTCAGAGACAACAATTTTCACACGATCTACCTAGAGTAGCAAACCAATTTTCATGCTTGAGATTTAAATAAATAAGCAAAACTTCCTACAGGAAACAAAACATCTATGAACGTACCAAACTTTCTATAGTATAGCTTCCAAGATGACCACGAGCATGCTTTGTCTTGCAGTATGTGCAAGCACCCAAACACCCAACATTAATAGGAAGAATCTCGATAAATTTGTTCTTCCTTACCTGGAAATTGTAGCTGTGGTCAGTCATCAGGAATGATATTAGTATATTACATCTGTCAGTGGTAAAAAGGTAATAGCACATAACATTGGCACTATACTAGCCATAAAAGATTGATACATATAACATCATGTACAGAAATATGAGTTGTACCTTAGGTAAATCAAGTGAGGGCAGTGTTTTCCGACTCAACAACCGAACCTCATGGCCTTTTAAGGTTTCTTCAACAACTTCAACAACGCGGTCAATCTGTTGCACTCCAATAACGCTAATACCTTCAAGCTCTTTCAGATCCCGGCTTCCTTGTGGTACACATCCAGCCACAACCAAAGGCTTGTTTGCACTCTTGCACTTCGATATGAGAGTTGTCATGGCAGACTGACTTGGGTTTTTCACAGTGCATCTGAAATGGCAAAATAGGTGTCGGTCACAATATATTCTTCACCTCTGAAGTTAATTTGAAGGTTTGCCCCTACGTGTCAATATATATCTCACTCTTCGGCACTGCAAGTTGGATTTATGCTTATTATCCCAAGTTTACACAGCTCATGGCATATTCTAGTGCAAAAAATAGCGTAGCTAGTTTTCCACAACACAAATCCAGAGCAGCACCAGTTTGAAACCATCACAGGTTAAATTCAACTCATGTGTACTTTTAATGAACGTCAGGAGGTAATAGATGGAAAGAAACAAATAAGAGAAGAAAGAAACTAAAACCATACGTGTTAATTAGCCACAAATCCGCTCCTTCGGGCTCTTCAGTGATCGCATATCCAAACGCTGACAGCTGCCCTGACATGTACTCACTGTCACTCTGCAGAGCAGGAATGATCAACTGGTTATTTTACATAGCTAACAACAGCAGAACCATTGGCTTCCTAGCATCAGCACAATGAATAAGCCCGCTAGAACCACACACTATCAGTGGATCACTACTTGTTTCAGCACTTCAACCAGAATTTCTTCATTTGCTAGTGGAAGTAACAGCATTTAACGAATCATATAGCACTTCATAATTCATATCAGTATTCTGTAAGCTAGCGTGCCAAAATTCTGCAGAAATAAATGTGGACGAAGCTTGCCTGGTTATGCGAGCACCCGAACGTCTTCACATATATCGTCTGCAACAAAACGAAACCATCAAGCGCATCAGATTAAACGTGGAAACGCAGCAACACGCTCATTGGAGCTCGAGCTACGGCGGCGGTTTCACCTGCGTCCCGGGGATCCGGGCCTCGGGCTGCGGCCGGGTCTGCGCGACCCTGGACGATCTCGGACGCTTGGGCTTCACGGCGACGGCGGCGAGCGGGAGACGGAGCCCCGGAGCCGCCCCGCCGCCGGCGATCCCGGCCGGCCCCAGCACGTCCTCGATGTCCTCCATCTCCATCTCCGGCGGCTGCTGCTGCTGCGGCGGCGGCGGCGACGGCGGCGGCGCGTCCAGGCGAGTCGTCGTGGGCTGGTGGCTTCCCCGACCGAGTAGGGTTTCTCGCTTGCGTCGCGACGACGCGAGTGAAAGTGGGCTTCTCGGTTTGGGCCCGCTTTGTGGGCTATCCTTTGCAGGCCGAGACGAAGCCCACCCAATTCGATTTTTTGGGCCGCCCCACCTTTCCACCGGCCGCGCCCGCACGCGCGCGAGAACCGAAACCGCGCGACGCGCGGCCACGTCCCGCCCACGCGTGTCGCCTCGCGGCGACGCCGAGCTCGCCACCGCATCCACTGCGGCGCGTCCACGCGTACGCCGCGGCAGCGCGCCACGGCCTCGGCCGCCGCGGCCGCCGGGCGCTTCTACAACCATCGGCGGCTCAGCGAGCGCGCGAATTTAAGCCCGTCATTAGGCGGCGTGGTCGAACCAGCAATGCACTTTTACCGCGGTAGCTTATGCTTCTTCGCACTGAGCTCCCTCCACTCCACTCACTGGAACTGGAAGCTTACGAGTGTTCGTCCAATGCCACGGCGTGCCGCTCTCGCCATGATGAACGTGGTGGCCATCGGGCTCGTGCTCTCCACCCTGGCCGCGGCCGGCGTGTGGTCGCCGGCGCCGACGCCACCGCCGTCCACGGCCGGCGAGCACGTCGTCCGGGAGGGACGCCGCGTGGTCATCGTCGAGTACGAGCGGGAGCACCCGCTGTACCCCGGCGACGCCGTGAAGGAGACGCACGTCCTGCCCCCTGACTCCCTCGACGGCGGCGAGGGCAGGCTCACGGACAAGGCCAGGGGCGCAGTCTCCGACGCGGCCGACAGGGTGGCCGACGCGGCGGAGGGCGGCAAGGAGAAGATGTCCGACGCCAAGGAGAGCGCGACGGGGAAGGTGTTCGGCGCGGTGAAGCGGTGCAAGGACAGGCTCTGCGGCGCGGCCAGGGAGGCGGAGGAGGGCGCGAAGGACAAGGCGTCGGCAGGCGAGCACGGCGCGGAGGAGGCGGCGAGAGGTGCAGAGGAGGCGCTCTCGCATGCTAAGGAGATAGCTGAGGACAAGGTGTTCGACGCTGCGTCCAAAGTGAAGGAGACCGCCGTGGGAGCCAAGGACAAGGTCTCCGAAGCGGCGGGCAAAGCCAAGGAGAGGGCGTCTCACGTCCAGCACGGAGCAGCAGAGACCGTGAGGAATGCCAAGGACAAGGTCTCTCACGCCGCGAGACATGCCCGGGAGAGCGCTAGGGAGCGCGCCATGGACGCCAAGGACAGGGTCTCCGACGTCGCCGAGAGAGCCGAGCAGTGCACGGAGGACGCCGCGGGGCGCGCGGCGCAGAAGGCGGCGCGGGCCGAGGAGGCCGTGAAGGCGAAGGCCGGCGAGGCGGCCAGCAACCTCTCCGACATCGCGCGGAGGGCGCGCGACGTGGCGTCCGACGCCGCCGCGCACCTCCTCGGCGGCGGGCCCAGGGAGGCGGCGCGCACCGCGACGGCGGTGATGCACCTGCTGGGGTTCGCCGCGGCGTACGGCGCGTCCCTGTGGGTGACGTTCGTGTCCAGCTACGTCCTCGCCGCGGCGCTGCCCCGGCAGCAGCTCGCCATGGTGCAGAGCAAGCTGTTCCCGATGTACTTCCGCGCCGTGGCGTACGGCGTCGGCCTCGCGCTCGCGGCGCACCTGCTCGGCCGCGAGCGCAGCTCCCTCGCCGCGCGCGCCCAGAGCGTCAACCTCCTCGCCGCGCTCGCCCTGGTCCTCGCCAACATGCTGCTCCTGGAGCCAAAAGCCACCAAAGTACGTAAGCTCACCTCACTTCATCGATCACCCAATTCTTTTCATAGTTTTATGATCGATTCCTTGCGTTCTTGCACAGGTGATGTTCGAGAGGATGAAGGTGGAGAAGGAGGAAGGCAGGGGGAGGGACATGGCCGACATCGTCGACCCGCCAACGGTCACCGTCGCGGCGGGCAACACGGCCACCACCACCACCGTTCCCACGGCGGCGGCGCGCAAGCCGGCAGGCAACAACAATATGGCGGCGAAGTCGGCGGCGGCGGCGGCGCCGGTGGACGAGCAGACGTCCAAGAGCCGGGTGGCGACGCTGAACCAGCGGCTCAAGAAGCTGAACGGCTACTCGTCTCTGTGCAACGTGCTGTGCCTGATGGCGCTGACGTGGCACCTCGTGCACCTGGCACGTCGCCTCCAGATAGCCAGCGTCTGCTAGGCTCAAAACTCTTCGTCGTCCGTGTCGTTTGCTGTGAATCTGACATGCTGTAGCTTCTTGTAGTTTTTACCGTTTTAGTTCAGGCAGTTGTCATGGCGTCTGATCTGTTCGTATGTATCAATGTACTTGCTTAGGTATATTTCGTCGACGTAAAAACAGTAGCATGTCGATCTGCTGTTGTTTGTAGTTTCCTGCAGTGTTCTTGCAGGTTGGGATGTAGCTCAAAACTGCTGCATTTCGGACACGACGTCCGTTGTTGGCTTGTTTTAGCTGGGATGAATGTAACTGGAAACCCCTAATCTGTTTTATCACGCGCGATCGATCGTTGCATCGACCGTTCATCGACGATGGGTGCTCAGGTTCTTGAGTTCTTCTCGGATTTGCGCTGCGAGCATATGAGCGGCATTGCACATCCCATTGCTGATCGTCTCAACTCTCAAATTGGGGCAAAAGACACGAATTTTTCATGCGTTGAGCCGGCGTGTTGAAATGTTAGGCAATACGCGATCTGTTTGGGTCTTAGTGATGGGGGAATATAGGCCAGGCCCGTCGGCCGTGGCAGACAAGTAGCAACTGTTAGTTAGGCCCATGGGTTGTCCTGTGCAATTCTGCTGAAGTCGGGGTAACTAGGCCGTGACCTTGAACGTTCCCAATCCCGGGCTATTTCGGTTGACGCAATGAAACGAGCCCGAGCATTTCACCGAACGAATAAGTCTACTCAGGATCCCTCTATCTACTAGAGGTTTAGTATTCATTCGTGTCGCTAGAGTTTCCCTTAATTTCTAAAACCCATGCGAATCGAGTCTACTTTGTTTAGTGAAACCGATGCGAATTGAAACATAGTTTTGTTTAGTGACGTGATGAGAGCTGTTTTAGCTAATGCAACGTTAAGTGACTCGATTTACACTCAATGGTGAAGCCAGTGACACTATCAAACCCGAGCTACTAAGGCCTTGTTTAGTTTCAAACTTTTTCTTCGAACTTTCAACTTTTTCATCACATCATTTTAATTTCAACCAAACTTTCAATTTTCGCGTGAACTAAACACACTCTAATAGTGAAGACGGCAGTGGCGGAGCTCGGATGGTCACCCGACCTGCTCAAGAGGTGGCCACTACTATTTTCACCGTTTTTAAAAGGTTGACAAATATAATATAATCGGTTCTGTGGTCGAGGAACGTCGATGAAAGTCAAACCCTCCAAGTCCTCAACTAGTTGATATACGTAAAGTGGGTATTTTCCTTTCGCCGAATCACCGACGTCAGGGACCAGATCAGCCGGGCGAGGCTAATCGGGATTTACCGTAATCTGAGAAGAACCGATCGCGGCCTGCCTCCGCTGACTGGAAGCCTCTATCGCTGATCGGGATTTACCATAATACTCCGTACGAGGCTACTCATGAGGCTTGGAAGGAACGACCAATGTTGTGCCATCTCGTGCGGTGCATTGCTAGCGGCGTGGATCGGAGCGACGGTGTTGAGAATTCCGCCACAACGCGTGTGCCTTCCGGTTTGCAGCCGCGCACCACAGGTGGCGTGGTGGCGCGGGTCGTCAACTCGTGATGACGGCCCTGTGTTTGCTTTGTCTTCTGCAAGACTGCAATGCAAAAAAGCTGTCCTCTAGTAGAGACTGCAAGTTTGGCAGTTGAGACTGTTTTTCATCGTTGGATTAAGGCAATCAACGGTCTAAACATATGCTACAGTAGCTTTAATTACATACTACAGGAATATGCTTTGTACGGTTTTTATTTAGAAAAGATCTAGAACGTTAATTTCTGATCCAATGGTGACTATAGGACTGCTTAAGTAGCTATAGCTACTGCAGGTGATCCCAATCCATGGATCAGACAGCCAAAACAGCCCACCAAACCAAACAAAATCAAATCACTCACGAACACACACACACAAAAACCCCTGCCTCCTACCACACAAACACCCGCCACTGTCACACATTCGATCGGATGACTGACCGATCGACCCCCCAGCCCCAGGTGCTCTCAAAAAGCAAACGGAGCGTACTACTAGTACGCGACACAAATCCTCGTGGGATCGTGTCAGATCCCTCCCGCACCGAAAGCCCCCAATCGTGCCGGCCTAATTGCCATCATCACCTTACCTCCTAAAAACCCCGGCTCGTGCCGTTCCACCGCGACACCGGCAGGAGGACGCGCCGAAAAGACAACTCGCGACGCGACCAGACGCAGCCGGCCCATTTCTCAGCCACACGGGGTGAAAAACGGTCGGAATAGATAGCACCGCTAGGTTTGATCAACTAGTAATTTGTATTTTTTTCCTCATTTAAATTATTCAGTGTTAACATTAATACAAAACACAAAGAAATTATAAATTTTATAGTATACAACAAAACGATACTAGTCAGAAACGGTAATCCTTCCCTATATAAAAACGAAGCTCGTTCGATTAGGAATTTTCGTGATCATTTTCATTCCCTGGACCGCCATCATCACCGTAGAAAACAAAAAGAGCAGATCAAGCATTAGCTAGGGTTTCCCTTACCATAGGAGTGGGGGTTACAGCACCCGGGGTGCTGAATATGATTACACACGCAATAATCACCGTAACAATGACAAACCATATAAAATTTGTCGAAAATTCAAATTGTTTTTAAATTTAATGGAGTTACAGCGGTTTAAACTTTCTCGTTCCCAACGGTAAACACAGTAACCAGACGGTTTCCATCGGGTTTGTAAACCCAACCTTGTCATTAGAAGCGCGACAAGAACCCGCCACGAGCCCCACGAGAACGAGACGAGACGCTGCTCACGCTAGCGGACGCGACGCGACGTGGGGAGCCGTGCACCCGAGCGAGCCGTTCGATCCCCCAGCTGGCTCCACCGCCGCCGCCGCGCTGTCGCCTCCGCCTTGGCCGTCGCATTATCCTCCGCCAAATGCCAACAAAAACCTCAGCACTACTGTACCGACACGACGTTGGTGAGAGCCAAATCTCGGGGAAGAAAAAAATCTCGCGCCCAGGCCGAAGCAAATGGAAGCTTCCTGCAGTAGTGGAGGCACACGCACCAACCCCAACGCGCGACCGATGCACTCTCACTCACTCTCACTGCCGTGGCCGATGCTGTTTAATGAGCTAGGATACGATGATTAGTCACTGCAATGCAATCAGTGGTACTACGACTGAAAATGAGATGAGACAGTGCAGCAGCAGCTACTACTACTACAGCAGAGTAGTACTAGTGGGGGGAGAAATTACAGATATGACCTCCATTAGCTTACCACGGCCGCGGTGCGGGGGGCAGGAGGGAAGTGGGTCATTAATTAATTAACGCGGAACTGAGCGACTAGCGGCTAATTAATCCATGGGATATTGCTAGTTGAATTAGAGCTAATTAAACCCTAGTGATTAAGTGAACTCATTAGCTAGCTAAGCTAAGCTAGGCTAAGGCTAAGCTAGTGTGTGCCAGTGACAGTGTGTCTGGCTGTCTAGCTAGACGCTGATCGGTGAAGGGGAGGGGGAGGACACGGCGGCGCGGGGCGGGGAGTCGTCGGTGTCGTCGTCGTCGCCGTCGCCGTCGCCGCTGATGCCGGTGCCGAGGCCGGTGCCGAGGCCGATGCCGGCGCCGGGGTTCATGACGCCGGCGGCGGCGGCGGCGGCGGAGGTCGGGGAGGAGGCGAGCTGGTTCTTGTGGTTGTGCATCCAGACCTTGAGGACGTGGCGCTTGACGCCGATCTCGACGCAGAAGCGGTCCAGGGCGCCGTCGTCGTTGCGGTTGATGCGCCACCCTTGCTTCTCGGCGAACTCCCGCATCCGCTCCTTCTGCTCCGGCGTGAACTTGGTCCGGAACCGCTTCCGCCCGAAGATGCCGCCGCCGCCGCTCCCGCTCCCGCCGGCGCTGCCGGGGCCGAAGTCGTCCATCCGCGGGGGCGTCTCCGAGCCGGCGCGGCCTGCCGCCGCCGCCGCCGCGTGGTGCCACGCCGCGGCGGGCACGGCGTGGTACGGCAGCGCGAGCTGCGGCGGCGGCGCCGGCGCCGGCACGGACGACGGGAGGAAGCCCTGCAGCGCGGCGTGGTGCGAGTGCGGCTGCGGCGGTGGCGGCGGGCGGAAGAACACCGGCCCGCCGCCGATGCCCGCGGCGGCGCGGCGGTGGAAGCTGCGGTGGCAGCCGCACGCGGCGCACTTGAGCGAGTCGGGCGACGCCGGCATGTACTCCCCGCACCCGTCGAACGCCTGCCCGCCCATCGCCGCCGCGTGGTTCCGCATGCACTCCTTGTACTTCCCTCCACCTCCTCCCCCGCCGGCGCTGCCGCCCTCGTAGGGCACCAGGCTCAGGTGATCCATCATGACGATCTCACTCGCTGTCACTCCCGGCGTCGGTGGCGGCGGCGGCGGCGGCGTCGCTATCGGAGGAGACGAGGCGAGGCGCGGTGTTTGTTGGTGTTGATAGCGGCAGCGACCGGGACGAGCAGAGAGGAGGGGGAGCTTTTATGCGCGCGCGTGGACACGGCTGGTGTGAGGGGTGTGTGTGTGACTGATTATAATTAATACAGTGATCAGTTATAGTCGGTTAGTTAATGTGACCCCAGTTTGGACAAAGCGGCAAAACAGTTTCACCCTAATGAACTGAGCCGGTACGAGCTAGAGACAGCAGTGAACTGTCAAAGAGAACTGACCCAGTATATGCATTTTTATTTGTATGTATTAATTATACACATTTAGTACTATTATCACGGACCAACCACCACTCATTTAGTAAGTAATACTCCTCTATAGTTACTGTACTCCACTACACTACTTTTGAGTGGTTGTATTGGTTCGGTTAATCCGAACTTGATAGTTGATACTAGTACTACGTAGCACTAGCACATGTTTTATGGGGTAACTAGTACAACCTCTCTCCCATTTTAATATTTTACTTACACTGTTTAACCACTCATCTTATTTAAAAATTATGCAAATATAAAAACAAAAAAACTATGTTTAAAGTATTTTAGATAATAAAATAAGTCACAAATAAAATAAATAATAATTCTAATTTTTTTTAAAGATTACGAATGGTCAAATAGTGCAAACAAAATATCAAAATCCCTTTATATCAAGGGAGGGAGGGAGTACTGTATGAGATCTTCTCTTTCTTTCTTAATTTAGGGCCCTTTTGAATCGTAGGTATAAAAAAACGGAGGAATAGTAAAAACATAGAATTATGACAAGAATGTAAGTTTAAAACAGAGGATTGCAAAACACATGAATGATCGTTAGATTAGACCACAGAAAAAACACAGGAATCGGATAAGAGAGATAGACTCAGAGGATTTTTACTAAGAGGTTGGACAACCTCTTACTAAGTTTCCTCCAAAACCTATATGCAACAAAATATTCTATAGAAATTCTGTAGGATTTAGAAAACTTCAATCTTTGAATCAAAAGAGCTATATATGAAGATTTCCTATAGGATTTCAATAGTTCCTTCGTAATTCCTTTATTCAAAGGGCCCTTAAAGAAAACCTAAACGATACTTCTAATTATATTTGTGGAGGGAGGGAGCACACCTTGTAGTACTAATTACTGTACTGTGATTAACTTTGCTGATGATATGATGCGGTAGTTAAATCGCTGGGTTGTCTTGCCTGAGGCAGCAGAGTAGGCGCCACGTGCCGGTCGGGAGGCGACGGCTCCCGGTCCCCTGCAGACGCGACGCGCCACGCCACGCCGCCACGTGAGCTGGGAGAATTTACTATTTGCCACTCTCTCAAAATGCAGTGCCCAAATGCCACGTGAGCTCGGGTTTCGGCCACGCTTGACGGGACCAGACGGGGGAGGGAGGCGGTAAGCAGTGTTCACGTGTCGACCCCGCATTGGGCCCCCCGGTAGAAAGAAAAAGAAAAACTCACTGTACTTTCTAATTGCTGGGCCCCGCCACGTGGCCGTGTAGTCGCCGTGCGGCGTGTCTGATCCGATCAGGTGCGCCTCGCACGGATGGCCCAGATGACGCGATCGGATGGCCCGACGGTGGAGATTTTTCCTAGCCTCCTGATCTTCTGCGGTTCGAGCCCATGTAATATAGATAAATGAACAAAGCAATAAAAATAGGACATTGCTAGACATCTAATGGTAGCTGGTTTATCTACCACTCCATCTATGATAAACACTATCCACCTATAATTCAAATACAATTTTCTCTTAAACTAGTCATCCGATCTACAATCAGATTACACCGTTGTGTTCATACAATTAAATCATTATAACAAGATCTCACATGATTATATTTTGATGAAAAAATATATATCACATTTGTAATATATCTAAATTACTTTTAGATTTCACTAAGTTACTTCTTAGACATATAAAAGTAATTCAATATAACCTAAAAGTAATTTACATATATTATAGAAGTAACTTATAAAAAAAGAAAATAACTTCTATAATTTATGTTAATTACTTTAAAACTTTATTGAATTTACTTTTATATATTTAAGAAGTAACTTAGTGAAATCTAAAAGTAATTTAGATATATTATAAAAGTAATTTGTGATTTTTTATCAAAATATAATCATGTGAGATCTTGTTGTAAAGATTTAATTGTTACAAACACAATGGTGTAATCGTGTCGGTGACATGGGACCGGGAGTATCATGACTTAGAGACTTGAGGCAGACGCGATCACCCACGTGGCCTAACCCCCTCGGGGGGGTCGGGCCCGAGGGTGATACGGCCGCCCTTCTCTTTGTCTCCCCGAGGGGTCGGGCCGCACCCGCCTCGGCCCCGAGGGCCGAGGCGCCCCGACCCCTCGTGGGTTTTTTGCTCCGCGTGTATGGGTTAGGTGAGCACAGTGGGGCTCACCTAACCACATTTATTGCGTTTCGGCTGAGCGTGTCACGCCGCATGTAACGCAGTGCAGTGCACTCATTTATCCGGTCTGTGACCAGTCACAGACCGGTCAGATCGCGGGTTAGGTGGCGACAGGCGATCTGACGCACGCCTCGCCCCATCCCGTCAGGACGAGGGCTTCTAGGCGCTCGTCCCCAGCTGGAGCTAGCGTGTTACCTCCCAGAGATGGCACGTTAGTCCTGGTCAGATATATGCCAGGCTTCATCCTAACCATTACAGGCAAGATGTTGTGTGAAGAAGGGCGAACATGTAGATTGCTAAGCTGACACGTGGTGGACAAGAATGACCGACGTGACTGGTCTGACACCGGTCATGTCGTCAGCAGACAGCCACGATTCCACGTCGCATCTGCTCCCGGCGAAAGTGGAGGTAGTTGTGGGCCGTCTCATCAGAAGGTGACTCGGACGGCAACTATACAAATCTCCGTCCATTTATGAAAAGGTGGGGGAAGTCCCCACAAAAAAGAGAGAAATGGTGCATGTGGTATCCCCTTAAGATATAAAAGGAGGACCTTGCCCACTTAGATAAAGAAGACTGAACTTTTCCAGATTAGGAACCCAGAACAAGGGAGAGGCTGGCTCATACTTTGTAGCTCCTTCATACACAGATCTCCCAAAAACACAGGAGTAGGGTATTACGCTTCTCAGCGGCCCGAACCTGTATACATCGCCCGTGTCTTGTGTGTTTCCTGTCTCGCGAACCTTCCACATACAGAGAGCTTAGAATCTCACCCTGAGTCCCCGGCCGAACCGGCAAAGGGGGGCCTGCGCGGTCTTCCGGTGAGGGGCCCCACGCTCCGTCAAATCGGATTGTAAATCGGATGAGTAATTTAAGAGAAAATTTTATTTGAAGCATAGATGATAGGAATATTTGTTCTACTTGCTTGATCAATTAGTACTATAGTAAAGTAAGATTCTTCAAGACATATCTGGACAACGGTTGATTGGATGATAGGGTCGCTCATTATGACTAAATCGAGAGCGCTCTCGATTTAAATTTTACGATAAAAATAATACTAACTGGTTTAAAAAGCTAACGCTAATAAATGGATAATGAAAATCCCTCGTAATAAACTTTAAAATTTCGTTATTCTAGGCATATAAGCTAACGAACAAACGATGAGGACCCTTTTAACGAGTGTAATTTATGTTTGGGTCATACTTCTTTCGTCCTATAATATAATAATCTAATACCAAATGTGATATTTTATAGTACATACGAATTTGGACGGGACATTTGGTCCAAAGTTGCTATATTATGAGACAGAGGGAGTATCTGATAAGTTAACGTTCAGACGATAATGGGCCTGTTTGGTTTGGTTCCAATTTATTACCTTACCAAAATTTTGGTAACTTCAATAGTAGCAAGTGAATGTTTGGTTTGCTACCAAATTCTACCCACAATAGTTCAAATTGAATACTACTCAATTTGATAGTGCCAAAATTTACCAATGTTTTGGCACTACCAGTTTGGTAGGGTAAAAATTGGCTCCAAACGAAATAAGCCCAATATACCCAATTTTAACTTCATTTGTTGGAAATTTTTTTGCATGCAATGTGGTGTTTGGTACTACTACAGAGAGTGCTAATGAGCCGCGCGCGCTGTCACGTTCCGCCATTGAAGCTGATCACACGATGCTTACCCGTGCAATCAATCAGGGGAGGGAGGGCACCGTCGCCGTGGGGGCAAGCAAAGGGCGATGGATCGATGGTGCATGTTGCTACAGTGCTTAATGGCAGAGGAGTAATAAAGAGAGGAGGATATCCGTGACACGTACAGATTTTTCGCTGCCCCGGTACTGTACAATGCTAAACTCTATGCATCCATCTTCCTGACCTATTACTACTACCCAGCGATAACGCCATTAATATCGTCATCCCGTATGATCTCATCTCATCAAGTCTCATCCATGATCGATATATGGATGTACATGTACTCATGGACAGATTCCGAATACCCAATTGGTTGGATGCTAATCCTGAAGTAGGAGTATAGAGTAAGGCCCCTTTTCTAAATTAAGGGCATGTTTGGTACAGCTTCAACTACTAAATATAACTTCAGAAGTTGAGTTTGGAGTGGAGTTGTGGAGCTGGCAAAACCCAGCTCCACAACTCTAGTACTTTTGTGAGAGAGCTCTACCCAACTCCACTCCCAGTTTTGGTGGAGCTGAAACTGTTTGGCTGAGCTCCAGCTCCAGGAGGGGTAGAGCTGGAGCTGGAGCTGTGCCACACAGACCCTAAGATAAAAAAATTACCTTATTTTTCGTTAGCAGTATAAACTGCTAAATGATGTATTGGATACGAAAACTTTCTTATATAAAAAATGTTTTAAAATATCTGATAAATTTATTTGTAAGAATTGTAATAATAAAATTTGATTAATCATACGCTAATAGTTTTCTTGTTTCTCGTGCTTTTAGCTTTATCTTTGGATCTGATCGGTAGTGCTTGTTGCGGCTGCGACCAGCCCAAATCTACACAAAATAGTTGATTTGAAGTCAGCATAAACGATTAAGGCCTTTATCTCTGAGAACTCCACCTTAATTGAATTAAAATGGAGCTAATAACTAGGGACAGATTTGGGTTTGAAGGAGGAGAGCTAGTGTTTGGTGGGCATTAGCAAACGCGATCTCCTTAATTGTTTGGTGATCCTGCAGCGAAGGTGTAGATAGGTAGTGGCAGGGAGTGCTTGTACTGAAGATGCACAAACACACCATGACCAGCACGAGCACGAGCAAGAACACGAACACGACGCGTGATGATGTCAGTGGCAGTTGATGGAATCGGACCGGGCAATTAATGCGTTGCCGCCCCATCCACGTCGTCCTCTCCTCCCCCTCCGGTTAATTTTTTTTCCTTCCGGTGAAAACTTTTTCGGACAGAACAGTGACACACACATCCTCCTCCTCCTCCTCCTCTCTCTCTAGTCTCTGCCGCAGCTACAGCGCCGTTGAAAAATCAACCGGTAAAACAAAAACAAAGGGGTGTTTAGATAAAAGTTTCCGTGTGTCACGTCGATATTATATAGGGTATCGTATAGGGTGTTCGGTTACTAATAAAAAACTAATTATAGAATACGTCAGTAAATCACGAGATGAATTTATTAAGCCCAATTAATTCATTATTAGTATATGTTTAACGTAGCACCATATTATTAAATTATAAAGCAATTATGCCTAAAAGATTCGTCTCGTAAATTAGTTATAATATGTGTAATTAGTTATTTTTTATTTAATACTTTAATATTCAAATGTTCGATGGATATGGTAAAATATTTTGGGACGAGATCTAATCAGAGCCAAAACAAACAAGATAAACGCCGTGAAGAAACAAGATGGCCATTGCCACTGGCTGGAACCAGAAGGAAGGAGAAAACACGGAAGAGACAGAGCGAGCGTGAGGTAGTCGTCGCAGCAGCATAGCAGCACGCGGGGGCCATATGATATGCAATGCGAAGCGTAGGGTCTAGTCGCGTCGCGTCTTGGGGCAGCGAGCGGCATCGCAGCTCCCATCTTGTCCGCGCTTTCTGTTTGCTGCAGCGGCTGCGGCAGAGGCAGCTGCAGGGCGAGGCGTGTAGGAGTAGAGGCTAGTACTGCTATAGTAGCTTTCGGTTTTGTTTGCTTGTTCGGATCAAAAAGCTGCCGCGAGAATCATTTCGCTCCCACCTGCTTCCTCTTCTTCTTCTCTCCTCCTCCACTGCTGCGTCGTCTGCGTGTTTTTCTTTTGTTTTCTTTTGGTTCCAGGGGCGCTGACAGGTTGATCAGATGGATGGAGGGGATGGAACTGGGGCTTTTTTGCCTCCCCGTCTCCAGTCTCCTACCACTACTGCTTCTACTTCTACTGCGTCTGGCAGCTTGTGTTTCCCGACGCATCGATCTGCATGTTTTTGGGACTTGGGAGCGATCATTTGCTAGTATACGAATACTTGTACGCGAGCGACACGGAATGATGGAGCGCTAATTTTTCAGTGTGCCGGTGTGTAAATTTGCACTCAATGAACTCTCTCTGCATTACGACAACTACAGTTTTAATGGGGATGGTTGTTGATTGTTTTGCCGTCAAGAAAGAAAAAGAAGAAGAAAAACTCAGGCTGACGATGGGCTTGTGATAGGGGCAGTGTTTTAGCGCGGTTACCGCATCTCGTGTTAAGGTACGGTTACCACGAAAAAATGTGTGGTAACCACGAGACATACCGTGGTTTTAAAAATTAAAAAGGTTACCGTGCATGGTAACCGCTCGGTTTTGTATTTGGCCCTTATTTAGTTCCCAACTTTTTCTTTAAACTTACAACTTCTTTCTTTAAACTTTTAATTTTAATTAAATTTTTAATTTTTAATTTTGACATGGAACTAAATACACTCTTAACCTTGGGAACTCGGGTAGGGGGCACCCTGGTACTACACGATCTTTTAATGCCATGTCTCAGGCGAATGATTCCAAGTTCCGATCAGCGATCAACAGGACACCGTGATTGACCGGTGCACAGTGAAGCTCTGTCAATATGTCATCAGCGTTTGTTGTGAACCGAAGACCTTGCAAAGACCTTCACGCGGCTTCTGTTTGTTGTGAACTGAAGACATTGGCTGTGTTTACGTCAGCGTAAAGTTTAAATTTTGGTTAAAATTAGAGATGATGTGACCTGAAAAGTTTTGTGCCAAACTTCAGTCCTTTTCCATCACATCAACCTGTCATACACACAAAACTTTTCAGTTACATCATCTCCAATTTTAACTAAAATCTAAACTTTACACTGAACTAAGAACACAGACTTACGCGAGATTTCTCAGTAACCACCATTGGTAATCAACTACAATGATGATATCGTGCTATGGCAAGGCTGGAGTCCATCCAGAACCACCGCAGAAACGGGGCGCTTCCGCTTCCGCTTACGCAGCCACGCGCGGGCGACGCAACGGCCACCTACTCCGCCAAATTTGCGCAGAGCGCACGAGCTGTCACGTCGCGTCATCCGTAACCGACGCTGGGTCAATGGGAGAGCCCGTACCGCTGTTCCGGCGAGACCACGGTCCGGCTTTTAACCGCTCAAGTCAATCCCGCATTCAATAAAGTACAGCGTCAGGTATATATATGCATACGCTATTTAAACATCAAATAAACACCAAGACGACTACTAGTACTAGTACTAAACTGCAGCTTTGCTACAGGCTACAACTACGAGTGTACGCGAAAAAAAACCACGGTACAGTCCGTTCGGCTGTCTCCACAAGGAGATGTACGGCTTGGCTACACGCCTTGGGCGTCAATCGTACCTAAGTCCCTAAGTAAATACAGTAACCGTGCTACGATCTTCCTAAGTCAAATGAAGCTGTACAAGAAGGGGGCAGCATACTGCGGATTAGCACCAGGGCTGACAGTCAGAAGGCATAACCACATTCCACTTCCATGAGATTGCTTAAACTCCGTTGTACTAGAATCGTCAGTGCTGCTTCGGCTGCTGGAGTATTGTGTGGTGTGGTGTGAATGGATCAACGTCAGCTGATGAATTGGAGGGCAACTGCAAAGCTGTGACCTCGCCCTGCTATAGCACCTGATTTGCCATCTGTGAAGCATAAATGAAGATGAGCCAAGCAGGGGCAGAAAGATACTTTGCAAACAAAACCCCAATAAATTTCAGGAGCTAATGTGCGTATGTTAGTCCAAGCTTAGCATATACTGATCGGCGCATCTGCGGTCTGCACGTTCATACTCATGTGTGCGTTGCAATGCGGTTGGCAGGAAACCCCCAAAGGTAAGGAAAAACAACATAATAATGTCGATGGCGGGAATAGAAACAATACCTTTTCTTGGCAAATCTTTGACAACGCTTCTACATGAAAATTTTGTAACTCTTCCAGGACTTTGACATCTAAGCCTCTTAGATCCTCGCCCTGAAAAAAGTTCACAGTAGCATCATAAGAGCAGAAGCACGATGGCTAGATGCATTTCAGGTATATCTGCAGGAAGGGAACAAAAAAAAAAGAAATTGTGGAGCGTAGATGCAAGCAGAGCTATCCAGTTTGCTGTGGGAATAATTACTTCAAGGGTGAATATAATTTGGTGAATATAATTTGGATCACCTTCAATCTGGAAACAATGCCTTCCAACTCTTTGCAGCGCCTTCTTTGAACATTGTATGCCGCTTTTGCTTCTTCATAAGTGCTGACACTGACACCATCCCAGTTCCTATTATCTGAAGCTTCCATTCCACTCATCATCCTGCCAGTATCACTCTTCGATGAATGATAGCCATTTTGTGTTGCCTTGAATTGGAACAAGTCCTCCTGAGAATTTTCTTTCTTTAACTCTGCAACAAGCATCCACATGTTTGCCAGTTCATTTTCCAAATCATGCTCATGGCATTTTGCATCTTCAATAACCTTTAGAAGTTCACTCTCTCTTCGGGCCCTTTGGGACAATGTGTCCTCTAACACAGCCTCCCTCTGACAGCTAGCAACCAACTCTTTCTGCAGCTCCTCTACAAAGATTCCATTCTCCTGATCACGGCGTTTTGTGTCACTCTGGATACTGCTCCTTGTTTGATCTTTTGCTGCAGCTAAATCTGCATTCAGCTTTGCATTTTCATAAGAAAGCCTCGTAACTTCTTCTGCCAAGTTCTTTAGTTCAACTGCAGCGGCAGCTGCCAATTCTTTAGCATAGGATGATTCTTCAGCCAGCTTTTGACTGTGAATTTCCAGCCCATCTTTCTCTTCTGCCAACCTCAGCTTGTCTAGCTTCAAATTCTCGATTTCTGCAGCCTGCAGCATCGATTTCTTGGTTTTCAGGTAACAGATAATCAAAGAATATGAATGCAGACAGACTAAATTATCGGTGATGAACTTAGGGGCATATTAATTTTACCTGCAAGAGCACTTGAGATTTCAGTGGTGACTCCGTATGATCTTCAGTTGTTCTAGAGGGCATTTTTGAATGACTTGCAACTTCATTTGCCAGATCCCTAGGATTGCTGCTTGTACTTGATGGCTCACTTGACTGCATACTAGCCACATTATCCTCGTTTTTGGCAGTCTTCAACAGATTATCAATTTCTTGCCTCAGTTGAGCAACTGTTTCTACGAGTTCTGCATTTTCTGATACCTATTTGGGTACAAAAAGTGAAATCGAATTGATCTGTTGAACAGCGATTAGATAATAAGTCCCACCCTCTGCTCACCTTTGCTTGTAGCTGGTCCTGAAGAATTCTATTATCTGCAGACATGATCTAGACAAACCACCGAACCAGAAAGAGAATGGTAATTATCCAAACATAAATATCATATGAAGAAACGACTATTAGCTAACATGTGCACTAGAACAAACCTCCAACTCAAATGTCTTCTCGCTCAATTGTGTGCTTAACTTTGAAAAGGTCTGTGAGAACATCAGATTACACGAAATATTCAGATCATTGACATAGATAATGGCCATCAAAACACAAAATATTCTAGCATACCATCAGCACATAGAATGGAGAGCAAAACGATCAAGGGAAAAAGGGTAGACATACTTAAAACAAAAACATAACTACAATATGCCCAAACATCAATCTTTATGAAGTTGGCACCAGCCAATCAAAGATAGAATTAAACCTCCTGGTTTATCATGTAGCCATTTAACAAGTATTACCTGGGACATTTCAGTCCTAATAGCTGGGTCTTCGGTAGTTTCCAATGATTGCGCCATACGCTGCTCCAGCACACGTATATGCGATTTCTTTTCGTCAATTTCATTTTTCAATTTTTCAATTTGTTCCTGCAGAAAGGGGATAATAAAAAAAAACACTAAGTGCCTTTTGAAATGTATTATAGTTGAGGCTAACCAAGCTGCCGAAGAAACATGATTACAAAAGAATAGGTCAGAAAGGATTATGACATAGGTTTACCTGAATTTGTGAATCATCAGGATTGTTTGCAGCTTGCTCTGACAACCTTTTGAGTGAGCTTGTACAAAGTGCAACTTCCCCAGCCAGCATTTTAACCTGCTCTTGAAGAAGATCAATTTGATCCACGATAGTTGTTCCACTCTATACATGTAGCATGTCAGTCAGTGTCAAAATCAGTGAATATAGCAAAACCTACCAAAACAGGTAGGAGTCACTGGGTCAGATATGCACCACTGGAATCAAAATTCCATCTCAGCATCAGACCCAAATCCAAAGTCGCACAGCTAACTTTAGTGTGGAAATTGAACTGCAATGCCCTCAATGAGCAACAGGCCCAGAAGGTCAGAATGGAGGCCTGCAGGCCCCCCAAAAGGCGCTATCCTCTAGCAAAGCATCGATCCTGGACCTACCATGCTACATTACAATCTTCCACATTCCTTTCGTATTCCAGAAGAGAGCTTGATCCAACCAACAGACCAAGCAGCTAGTTGAGGGAAGGCTTGAACGAAATGTTGATAACTCGATATGGAAGTGGAAAGCAAAGTCTATTGAGAGAAAGAGGTGAAAGTGAAACTCATAAGAGTGTACCAGTTAGAAATCTGACTCACCGGAAGATGGTGCCGTGCTCTAGATGCAGCACTAAATAAATCACCTGCTTGAGTCCTCCCTGGAAAAGAATCAGTAAGTGCTGGGTCATCTCCTTTCCTAGTCATAGATTTTCTTCGACCATCCTTCAGGTCAAGAAGCGGGTGTTTTTGTTGCGATGATCTAGAAAAGGAAGGTGAGCCGCTGGCTGTGCTTTCACTGTCTACACTAGTCGACAGTCCTGACAGTTGATCTGACTTCTGCATAAGTTAAGTTACAACGTTAGACCATTCAAAAAAAATTACAAAATTAAATATTAATTCAGATAAATTTCTATAGATAATTACTCTGGGTTAAGAAATTCTTGATAACTCATCAAGCTATATCACCACTAAAAATTTCAGTTGAGCAGTTAGCTGCACCGAACAAGTGGGAACAATGTACTAGCTGAGTGCTCATGAAATGAACATCAAGTAGATGATAACATAAACTTAAACTAAAAAAGAAACAAAATAATCCTGAGTCTCCTTACATGCAAAGCTGACCACTTTTTTTTTTAAGAACTCAACGGAAGACCAAGATGGCCCACCTTGAAACTCATTTCTTTTCTCATTAAACTAGCGCATTAAAGCTATCATGCACAAAAGAGTAACATTGAGCGTCCTGCAAGCAAGCCGTAGGTAATAAATTTATGAGACACATAGATGATCCCATGTATCATAAAGGATCTTCCAAGACATCCATATATAAGTAGACCCATCCGAAGAAAATCCTCCAGGTTTGAAACGATTTAAGTGGAAATAAGTATAGATAGGATCATAGGAATGTGAGTCCTTCACATAGCTTGACATGATTTGATCTCTGCAAGCAAGAGGCTCAGATTCACCAATTTTGGTGTAGGTACTTTTGGATGACTTCTTTGCACCCAAACTAGAAGAGAACAAACATTTATGTAGCAGGCACCTCCAAACAACTTTCATTAGAGATAAGGAAGCACAAACTGATAGGATACAAACCAATATTATCTCTACTCAATTCTAATGATCAGATATTAGCTAGTCTTATTTAATTTATTCAAATACTTGGTTTATTCTTGCAGCTGAAGATGATCTGGCACTAGAATTCTAAACCTTGCCCCCAGGACGTTGACAACAACACAAGCATTTACAGCTTTAGCAGGACTACTAGCCTTTATTGCACCTGACCAAAAGAGTATATTTTTATTTCACATTTTTTGATATAAATAAAGTACTAAGCAAGTAAGTCCAATTTATTCATGATATTTTGCTTGATACCACTGCAAAGATCACCAAGTTGGAAAATACCATAACATGTGTTGCAACGATCACAAAGCCACCTACGACAGTTTCCAATTCACACATCTTTGAGATGTACTTATCTAATTTTCTAATATTCGAAATATGGTTGAACTATATTATTCAATTTAATCAAATTTAACTGGAGGTAGCATGTATGAAACAGACACTTTTAATAATAGACTGGTTCAAGACATATCCAATAAAGCCACCTATAATCCTTTTTAAAAATATACAGGCAGAATTGTCTGCCGTTGCAAGCGCAAAACCTTTTGCTAGGTGAAAACAGAAAATGGAACTGAGCAGCATAGACTGCCTCTCTTCGTTGTATTTATAATCCATAGAGAAAATCACCTTTAGTTTGAACCAACCAAGCATTCCCCGTCTGCGATTCCTTCTATCAAACCTCAGTGACTCATCAGGATTGTTAGAATCAAGTTTTCCTTCAACAGAAAACTCTGAATCGAGACTAACATCATCATCCTCCATGGAGTACTCCCGCTTCCGATCAGGCAAATAAGCAAGCTACAATTAAGATAGAATTCAGGTACTCCAATGCAAGAGTAGTGCTTTGTTCAGTGGCAAAACCAAAATGCATTTTTTCCATGCTCCAATCAGTTTAATATTTAACCATTTCAGCTAAATATCTGTTCTCATTGCACAGATAACAATTTTTCAGGCTCTATTCAGTTTAATGAGTGATGACTACCCATTTCAGCTAAATATGACTAAGAACAGATCAGTTCTTTGTTGCACATAGAACAGTTTTTCAGTCCATTCAGTTTGATGCTTTGCAAATTTTGTACTATGTAGTTTACACACATACATTATGTGTTCTTAGAACAGACCTCCCTCATGATATCGTTGAGTAGTTCTGAAGTTGTTAGGAGGTACCAGAACATCACCTCATAAATAGTGGGTTTCTATTATCTTGGAAACCGTTTTAGCTAAATTATAATGCAAAAGGAGCTAGTAGGTTGTGTATTAGTAAGTGGCAAGGTGCAAAATCACATCATATAATCCCAATGTTACATGTAGCAGTAAAAGCTACAACAAGATAAGAAATTTTACCATGATAAGAAAACGGAGATACATCAGAAAAGAGGTATCACTATCATATTTTTTCACACCTGCACTATTTCTAAATTCTAGAACACTTGTTGCAACTCAGTAACTCTTCTTTTTTCAAGAGAAAACTTAATGCTGTAATTCTTAAAAGATATTGCTCTAAGCTGAACTAAAAGAATAAGATGATGCAGCCAAACAAAGAAGGAAAAAGAGCTTGGGTTTATAAACCTCATCTTCCCCAAATGAATGCCGTCGACGGAGGCTAGCCTTTCCTGAAACATTTGAGGATATGGAACTTTTCGTTGATACCAATATCAATTTTGTTAACCTCTGAATTCTACCCATCAATGCAGCTTTTGCTTCTTCCTCCTCTTCTAGCCTTGACTGGAGTTTCACTTGACCAGCTTCAAGCTATCACGCAGAAAGAATAAAAAGTAGAACTAATCATCTTGGATGCAACGATGGCCATCAAGGTAATAGCAAGAACTAATCCAAAGGTACAAGGGATGAATTCAATCTCCCAGTCCTTGGATGCTATCTAGCACAATATTGTATAGAATATATTCACCTGCAGGTCATAAAAGCTAACTTATCTGACAAAGATGGTAAAAAAAAGAAAACAAACCTGCAGTTTTAAGCTAACAAGATCCTCTTGATCTGTTGGAGGAATGTACCCATTACCCATCATACCACGTCTTAGTTGCTGCAGCTCTTCTTTCAAGCAGGTTATCTCTTTTTGATACTTCTTTATCAAAGACTTCTCATCAATTATCTGATAAGATAAATGCATAAACATCAGTAATAAGCAATTAAGCACCATATAGTATAATGATTCTTACCTTATTTTGAGAAGCCTTTATTTCTATATGCTTGCTCCTGTGGGCAAATTTTAATGTATTATGTGTCTCTTCACTGTTGCTGGAAGCAGGGGTAACTGTGCAAATAAGCTGTAACAAAGATAAAATTCAGAAAGTAGTAAGCATATGTTTCTGTAGGTTTGTGGCCCCACACAAATATGTGGGAACTCTTTATGGCAGGATATATGTGGAAACTTCACGAAGAATTAAAGATTCACTCACAGAAATGCGCCCATGCCCACTAAGAGAGGACTGAAGTAAGCGTGTGAGCTTTGAGTCTCTATAAGGAATATGGGTAGCCTTACCATCTGTAAGTTTAGCAATTACCTGCAGGAAAATTCCATTGTTAATTTAGGACAAGAACAAAAACTAAGTGAACAAAAATGTGACCATTTCTTATCAATTCCTGGAAGCTAATCATATTTGACAACTAAAGTGCTGTTTCACATGGCAGTGTTTTTCAAATGCACATTTTGCCACCTTCTGGATGTTGGAATTAGTTGAAAGTATCATTTTTAAGGCATGGCATCATTCCTACTGGAACTAGTAAAAATATATATAGCTAGCAATCAGGTAAAAAATGCATGGAAAAATGGTAGCAATATTTGTGAAACGGGCCATTTCCTGCAAGTTAATCCAGGGAGACTTGGTAAAGCTCAATGAAATAGGTCATAAAGTTCATAAAATCGTTCAAAAAGGAACTCCATAACAGCATGAAATACTTACAGTTCCAAGGGTGAGCAGACTTTTGTTTATGTATGAACCTTCTTTGCGTCGTAATCCAGTTGTTTCAGTCTTGGAACTCTCAGACCCAGCAAGATCAATCAAATTCTGATGAAAGCATGAAGATACAGAGGTTTCAACCTAAGTATCATATACCTATAGACAATGCTTAAGACGATTGAATGAAACTATAAGTAAACTGGAAAGAGGCATTACCAACTGAGACAATTTGACTTCTCCTTCATCATTCTCACCAGAGGGGCTACTCTCAATAGTCTGCGTAGTGTTAGAGTCTAAAGTTAAGCAATTCTACCTCAGCAAAAACTTTATGTATGAATGGAGCAACCTAACACCACCACCCAGAGAGAGAGAGAGAGAGAGAGAGAGAGAGAGCGAGGGAGGGTACCAATGTGAAGATAGTATGGCTCCGACTGCTGACAAGATTGAAGTTGTTTGAGCCAACATGTCTATGCTCTGCCAGAAAGCAATGGCATCTGTAACTAAGTTCAAGTTTAACAATTTCAACGTATATGAAGATATAACATTCAAGGAAATGCCAGGAGTCCAAAAAAAATAACATGGCACGCACACATGGAGAAAAAAAATATATAAATGCATTCTTGGAGAGCACCTTATACTGTGGGTTTGAAATTTATGCAAGATAAAAAATAGCAAAAAGTTATCTCCATGTAACTGAATAAATCATTGGGGTGCAACTAATGATATTTGAGGGAACGAAAAAAGGATGTACAGTAGAAAGAAATAAGTACCTTCGCCAGATGCTATTAGAGAGAGTGCATGTGCAGGTGATAAAACAACCTCTTCTTTTATCCCTTCCACATAAGTTCCCTGAGTGAATAAAAGAATGAGGGTACAGTGTATTGGTTACAACACTCTTTTTAGAGAGGAATCAGAAATGAGTTAAAAAAAGGAAACAAATCAATCAATAGGCGTAGTAAACCAAGAACTTTTAAGTGAAATATGCAACAATCAGTGTTAAGAACGTAAAATAAAAAATCATATAGTTTGACTTGTTTTTCTGTGTAACATTAATGGACATGATTGTGTGATCATAAAATATATTGCATCAAACGTTAGGTACCTGTGCATCTTCTCGAATTCTGAGATTTTGTCCAATTGGATCAAGTAAATCGTTGATAACCTAGAAGTGATCAAGGCAACAAAAAGAGTGAGCGCAAGTTATGGATCACATGACTTCAAACTTATACGAATACGGATTGGAAACATATTGGCTTCTACAGGGTAAGTAAGTACTAAATAGGTAACACATCTTTGCACATTAGTGTGAAACAAAGACAGGGCTTGGCAATAGAAGTACCTCATTGTATATTTCAAGATATGAAACTCGTAGAAGAAATTCTCGTCCAGGTGTCTGAGGTGAACAAAAAAATAATATTGTCATACGATCCCAACCATTTTAATTGTTCACAGAGAAATGAACAGATTACATCTTGAATAATGCTGAAAACATCCTTCACTGCCAATGGGATAATTCCAGGTGATTTTTGTTCCCCCTGTAATTCGAGTGTGTCGTAAAAAAAATAATTGGTAATTAAATTGAAGCGATAGTCATTAAAAAAATATACACAGGATACTAGCTATATGAAATAGAGATGTCTCGCGTTTAATGAATAAGAACACATTGGCATGTATTAGATGCATGAAAGAGAACAGATGCATAAGCATAACAACGGTACTGATACTTACATGCATGGTGTGAGTTTTACCGCTACTAGTTACACCATACGCAAAAACAGTGCCTACAAGGAACAGAACAATATTACTGAACTGAATAAACTACATATACTAGAGTAAGAGACAAAAATAAACATCATCAACTACCAATGCTTTAAGTCCTAGCAAAAAGTAGAGGCCAAGTTTGTCAGGATTATGATCTGTCTCATAATATCCTAAAATATTATCAGTGAATTCTGGTTCTGATGACACTTAGGCACAGAATGGTATAATGATGTTCCTATGTGTTACAATCTTCATATAACGACGTTATCAAATTATCTTGCATTCCTGCCATTGTAACTATAATCTGATCCTACCAACACAAAAATAATCCTACCTAGGGCCCTCATCTCAGCAGCCTTGGGAGATGATTTCTTTCAAAGAGGAGGGGGTAAAGGTGGCATCGGAATCCTGATATTTACGACTTGGAAATGTTCATAGCTATGTAACAATGGACAGTTCCTAGTTCAGTAACTTTGCACTTACGGTTTGAAAGTATTTAGTACTATGTTTTAAGAACCAAAAGGAGACTTGAAAGTACCATTGATTCCTTCCATAGCACCACTTACAACATGCTGAGCAGCAATATCATATACATGACGAGTAGTAGTAGCAGGGCCAAAAACTTTATCTGAAAAGGTGAACACATACAACAAAAATGGTTTTAATAAACTGCAGAGATATCACATGTCACCAGTTGTAACTTGTAAATTCTAGGGCTCTCATCCTTTTGTTGGGAACAGAGTCTGGCCTGTTTGGGGGAGCTTCTAGCAGCTGCAGCTTCTCCTAGAATCTCCAGTTGCTAGAAGCTCCCCCAAACAGTCCAGCTTTTTACCCAGATTCTGAGAATCTGTAGTTGTAAAATCTGGAAAATGAACTAGAAGCCAGCTTCTCCAGATTCTCACCAGCTAGCTTCTCAGCAGCTGCTTCTCAGAATCTTAAGCTCTCCCAAACAGACCCTCAGTATCATAACACTCAGATTCAAAACAATAACATATTAACTTCTTACCGCCTGATGCACTTGTACTAACGATCATGCAAGTTTCATCATGATCTGGTGCTCTTGATCTTGCATTCTATATAGCAACCTTGACCAACCAAAGTAAGACATATTATACAGCTACAATGCCGCCATGTCATTCTTCCCATGTGCAGCCTAAGTAGTTTTTCTATGTTGTACTACCAGAATATATTGCTGTAACAATCTACCGCTGAAACTGATAATACTCATTTACGGTATGCCTCGATTCCACTAGAGCCAGCTTTTAATTGCCAAGTAATGTCATCCTCATTTCCAAAAGGAAATCCCATATTAGATTGCTTCCTTCCCTCCTTTTATGGAGTACAACTGCTTATCATCATTTCGAATGTTTTATATAGGATGAGTTGAAGATCACTAACCAAAAGCATAGGCGATACTCGGATTGTACTCGTTGCGCACCATGTTGTCGCCGTTGGCGTACCACGCCACCTCGTCCCCCTTGTTGATCTCTCTAGGACTACACCACGAAACACGGAGACACCGTGACGACCAAAAACCCAACAAAGCCCAGGGGACTCCCATACCCACAGAGCGATCGAACCAGCAGCAGCAGCGCACCTGAGGGGCCGGAAGCGGACGGTGACCATGATGTTCTCCTTGGCATTGGCCGCGTCCACCGCCGCGACGGGCGGCGCCCTCCCGGCCGCCCTCGAGGAGGCCGACGAGGGCGTCGTCGGCCTCCCGGAGGACGGGGTGGTGGACCGCGCGAACGCCGCGGAGGGGGTGGTGGGCCGGCCACCGGCGGACGACGACGACGGGGTAGTGGGCCGGCCACCGCCGGCGGCGGAGGAGGAGGAGGAAGGCGTCGAGGGTCGCCCCCCCGACGACGTCCTCGCCGGAGGAGGATGCGCCGCCGCCGCCACCCCCGCCCCGCCCCCCGCCGCCGACGTGCGGCGGGATCGGAACGGGGAGATGCTGGCCCGCCCCGGCCTCGACGACGACGACATTGCGGCGGCGGAGCCCCGGGGTAGGTAGGTGCGGGGCGGCGGCTAGGGTTTGGGCGAGCACGAGGTTGGTTTGCCGCGAGCTCGTGGGCTTCTCGCTTTGGCTAGGCAGGCAGCCGTCGTCGTCTTCCTCGGAGGGGCGCCTGGGTCACCGTGGCGTCTTTTGTCGATTTGGGTTTGTGCCGCCTTTTTGGTGCTTTGGTCTAAAAAGCGCTCAAGTTTTCTGTGGGGGTTTGGGGGGGTTTGACCACCGGAGGTGCGCTTACCGCCGTCTTTATCGGGATCGCAACGTCTAACGAGCAGCCTCGTTGTTTTCATTTTTTCTAAAAAAAAAAAGATATTCGTAGTAGCAACGTGTTCAGGGACCACAGGTAGAGTCATCCACATCGTTGAGCTTGGAGAACGAGTAGCATTTGTTAGTGACTGATATTTATCTACATGTGTTGAAAATAAAAATGCAGTGAAAACATAGGCGGCTCGTTCACCACATATAATTATCACTTATTTGAATTAGTGAAAAATAGAAAATGGAGTGAGGGGTTATTTTATATTCTGCTGGTTAGGTTTTATGGGTGGGTGACGAGTTCACTGTCAGGGTTACAGATAAGGCATATCCTCTACCCTTAGATATACGCTATACAGCAATATGGTATATCTGCGCGTGTACAGACGTTCTCTGTATACGCTAAGGAAATTCATCACGAAGTCCATCGATGGTCGTCACTGTATCGTGCAGGGTCCGATGTCTCCGAGTTCTACTTGGAAACCGCCTGACCTGCGATATAAAAATGACCCCCTGGGAGGACCTAAAACATCAAATCTCATAGCCAAGATAACCACCATAGCCTATGAAGCCGGAGCCTACAGGAGCCAAGTCGTCGGGTGATCTAGTCGAATCAACTCGACTATGATCTCGTCGGTATCATCGAGTTCCATTATTCCCTTTGTAATTTGTGACTTCCATCATATAATCCCATATCAACTGGATTAGGGCTATTGCCTATTAAGGGGCCTGAACCAGTATAATCTCTGTTTTCTGTTTGCTTGATGTCGTATTACGTAGATCCTCGTACCAGCATACCCCAATACCCTCTATATCCGGTCTACAAGTATCCTCCGTCGACATTCACTACATGCATTGTGTAAGGTTTAATGTCACATGTAGCCCAAGGTTGCTACATCTTATATTGAACGAGTTTGATCAAGTTGATCACTACTTATTTGGTTTACAGTTATACTTGTGGTAAGATTCTCTCTTTTCTCTTGGCACCACACCTCATGAACTTTAAATAAGGTGTGGCAAAAAAAAATTGCAAATGACAACCTTAGTATACCAACCAAAAAATCGGTAGTCACTATCCATTAAAATTACGATAGATCACCTCGTAGTAAAGGTTTGCTTCCTCGAACAAAATGAACCATACGTGAATGTCGGTATCTTCACTCTTTATAATTATAGTTGCATGCATAGCATCTTTTATTTTCACACTAATATGTTGCACGATCTAATCTTATTTTCGCATTCATAAATCTCTACTTCGTCATAGTCAAACACAAAAAAAAAAAACACAACAAACTGTAACCGATTGAAAACTACTCCTAATTGCGCAATGGTTGTTTAATTAAACCAGCACATGGCATCCTAATCGTTTCTGACTTTGCAATGCATTTACTCCGTAAACAATACGCACAGTTCATGGACATATAAACACGGTAATCCTACAGCACTACAGCAGTGTACCGTAATACAAGTAGTGCTGTGCAGTAGCATTTCCCTGTAGATAGAAAAGAAGTCGAAATCGATTTGGGTCAATTTGGGCGGGAGAGAAGCGGTAAGCACGCTTACCATCACCGGGAAAGTGACAGGAGACACGAGAGAACCTGCGCCTAGCGTGGGGGGAGAGGCTCTTTGAAGTTTGTATGTAATTTTGGGCACTTGGCTCGCTCCACCACAAAAGCAGCGGGCTCCCTCGATACCCGGCACGTGGCCACCACGTGAGACCCTGCCGCTGCGACCACCACTTGCCCAGCGTCATAGCATAGCCCCCATGCCCCATCACTCACGAACGCCTAGTAATCAATGTCTTAATCCAATCCACTGCTGCCCTTAATGGCGTCCCGTTAGCAAAAACCCTGTAGACTCTCTCCTGCGTGGTGGTGGCTCGGTGGGCGCCCACCAGGCAGCCACTCCGGCGCTCCCGATCTCGGTGGGCCGTACCCGGTGGCGCGGACTGTGGACCGGGTCCATGGGCCCAAGCACTGCACGGCACGGCAGTGCACCAAAAGATTCTTCGTGCCCGTAGCGGACAAAATCCAAGAGCACTCGCCGAACGGGAATTTACTCGTGCCCTGGCCCCTGTGGTGTGTGTGCTGCAGTCTGCAGATCTGCTGCCCCCGTGGTCGGGGGAGCATCTGGCTGGTACAGCTAAAAAAATGACAGGACGAGTAAAGCATAATAAGTAAAGAATAGTATTAAAATGTTTTTCTTTTTGGTTTCTCGTCGAATTTGGTCCGCAAGTTCGGCTCAAATTTGCCTCTCTAGCCAGTCTGTTTTTTTATTCGAATACTCAGTTTCCAAATCCAATATGACTCGTGGTCAGGAAAAGCTTCATCTGGAATGATGACACAACGTTGGAGCAGGAAATTGGATTGTGTAGTGTTTCTCTCTTGATCCTACGAGCAAGATAAATAGCAGATTGGAATCATTTTAGCCAAGAACCGAGCGAACCTTCTGTTGAATCACAGTATCGAGTAAGTAGAACAGCTGACATGAACCTACAAATTGGGAGGTGGATGGGGTAGTAGAGTATATAGACCTTTCTGTAAAAGTGGTTGGCCACTTCAGCGATCTGGCTCATGCGCATCGCATTAACCGTCCAACGTGAATCCCTGCAGGACAACCAAACAGTCACATACTCTCAGTTTGCCACAACAGAAGGACCACGGACTAGGATTGGGCGCTAGTCATCGGGGGTAAAAACAACTTGGCAGTGGTTTGTCGGATAAACTATCTCTACTAACTGTGGCCCAGTCGGTCAAGAGTGGCGTGTTGTGGAAAGGAAAACTAAGGACAAGATGTTATCACTCACCTCAGGAGGATTGAATTTTGCACCCAGATTGCTCAGTTTAGCATGAGCTCCGGCATAGTCTTTAAAGAATGCTTCTTGGTCCTCTGCGTATTTTTCTGCATAGACCTGAATGTGCGGTGAATTCTCAGACAGTTAGTTCAATAATTATTTCAATTTTCAAATGATCCTGACATATCCTAGTACGAGATTGGTTTATTTCGGGAAGTGAGAGTACAGTTTAAGCATTATTCACCTTGAATGTTGGGTCCTCAAATAATGCAGCATCTGTAGGCAAGACCAGGAGATCCTGATCTCTTTTCTCTTTTATCTCCTGCAGTATTGCCACCAGGCACCAGCTCACATCATGCAAAATCATATGAATCATCCGACATGAAGAATAAGGGAAAAGTGGCACGTACCTTGAAATAACTGTTATCAAACTTAAGCCATTCAGCTGTCCACGATTGCCCACCAGGTGCACCAGGGCCATTCTTCTGAAAAAGTAAGAAAAAAAAGGTGAAAAAGCTCAAGATTTGTCCAATCCAGTCTAACCATAAAGACAAATGCACTTGGAGTTGATGTTGCTTCATGGAGTTGCAGAGGCGGCACGATATTTTGCAGAGAATATATAGAGATTATGTGAGCAAAAAGTACATCCTTCAGCCAAAACCATCGGAGCAGAGGCCAAGGAAAAATATCTAAAACGTATGGAGTTCTGATTTACTCTAGTCTGTAGCTATGTACACATCTTGAAATTAATACACGTAGTTTCTTTCCTGAGGAATAAGGGTAATTTAAGCAGAGACATTAAGTACTGAAAGCATAAAACATCATGAAGTACTAAGTGGTCCTTGACTCCTTGTTGCAAAAATGATGACATGATATGCAATGATAGACTTAACATGGGAATACATTGAAACAGTGGATAGAACTGAGATCATGCTCAAAACTCGGTTCTCACATAAGAAAATAAAGATAAGAAGAACATACAGTATATTTCGTTTCTGGTTTCCCCCAGCCACTCCGTTCAGGTCTGGACCTTCCAAGTGTATGTGCTCCAGACAGCACAACAATCTCCTGTAGGCACAGCATCGCGGGGCACATGCAACTCAACATCACATAAAACAAAGCAAATGGGAAAACATCTGGTTAACTAGAATCTCATTTGCACACCTTGTCATCAAGACCCATCCTGTAAAATACCTTCCTCAAGTGATCCGCAGGTGCACTTGGGCCAGCATCTGAGCAACCAAAAGGGAAGGATAACTGAAAGTTAGCAAGCATCAGTTTTAAGGGATTGAGTATGATGCTGGTGCAATATTTCCTAAATACCCCTATATGTAAGAACAGTTTTATGCCTGTTAGCGTGGCAATAAAAACTATCCCATAATTTTCCAAGGGAAAAAATAAGGTCGGTTGATATATTAAGCTGATGAGAGACAATGTACATAGGAACCTTTACATTTAAAAATTAAAAAGAACAATTATGAAGTAAGCAAGACAGGATATCAGTACAGATGTTAGTGTTTTGGAAAATCCAGTGAAACATAAGTTGCTAACCGGGAAGCTTCCCCTCAGGTGGACACTGCTCAGGACCTGTGACATCAATCCGTCCATATGTCATTGGAATCTTTGGACCACCAGCTTCCTAGTACAAGTTTGACAAAAATGGATCATTAAGGTAGAATATAGTGTTCGTACATTAAAACCAGACTAGTTAGGTACTTCATTTTTCATTATTTTTTGGGGGCGTGAGGGGATCAGACCTCAATTGCTGTAGCACTTGCCAGCTGGAATAAATCCGCATATGAGATATTTGGGTATTTGTCCTTGATAGGTTGGACAAGCTTTAGAGCATTTACCAGCCCTTCAATAATTCAATCAGGATTTTTAGTTGCTGAAAGTACACTTACAAGCAACAAGGAAACGAAATCGTGAAAAGGTAATGTTACCAGCATTGGCTCCATGTTTTAACTCAACATCAAATCTCAAGCTTCCATTAGCTCCACCTCGTTGTGGCCACTCTTTAATATTCTTGTCATACGTACCGGAATCATGCCATCCAAGACGAACCTTCATGCAGGCAAAGGAATAACATTTTAACCACCGTGGATATAGAGAAACTGGAGTAGAAAGCCAATTGATTGTGCACATGCAAGGGTTTGAATGGAACTAAACAATAGGAAATGGTGCCGTGGTCTACCCCCGTTGCATTGCATTCAGTATTTGCAAATTCAAAATGTACGACAGTACAAGTTCAGTCAATGGTGATTATTTGGATAAATGGCAGCCCTATTAACACCTTTAACTTCAGCAAGCTGGCATATCATAGCCATGACCATATGAAGGTAAAATAGCATGGAAATAACCAATGAACTGGACTTATGTCCTAGTGCTATGATAATGTTGTTCTGCTGTCATTAATTATTCAACGCCGCATTCATATTGCCTAATTCCTTAGAATTTACTTGTACCATCTGATAACTAATTGAACACAGCCTAACAATTTACACAAGCACGACCTACGTTCCTAAATGTAAGCATTTCTGGCTAGAAATACTTATATTTGAGAACGGACAGAGTAACTCACATGATACTTGATAGTCTCACTGGGAAAAGCTGCTGCAAGTGTTAGTATCAGTTATCACCACAAACAATAAATGATGATAGGATACGTGATGAATGAATTTATAGTTTCAAACTTTCAATACAACTCTTAACTCTCACAAGCCATTTGTGACATGTGCAACCTACTCGTCAGTACAGATGAGATCAGACTTAACAATTGAACTGTCGTTACACATTGGTGATTTACGACAATACGCTATTTCTAGAGGTCAAAATCCTATTTGAGAGGCAAGCTGGTCATGAAATTACTTCCTCGTGATGTTAAATTCCAGCATTGCTCCAGAGAGCATATTCAGTGTGTTCACAGATTCATGACATCACTGTCTCCAGAGAGAAAATTCAGTGTGTTCACAAACTCATAACATCGCTGTCTCCGAGCTGAGTTTGTTCTCATGTGCAATCCTTGGTTGCAAAGGCGATCGGCCAGATGGCTCCTCTGCTACCGAATCAAATCTCCCACATGGTGATGCTGATATGAAGGAGAAGTTTCGGAGCAACCAAAGCCGCATCGCGTGGTGCGTGTACACGAGACGAGATCATACCAGGATGGGGTGGCAGTGCGTCGTCTTGAGGAGCTCCCTGATGTCCTCGCGAGCGGCCTTCAGCTCCGCCGCGCCCGACGCCACCGCCGCCGACGCCGCCGACGCCGACGCCGACGCCATGCACATCACCGACCTGCCGCTCCCCGCCGCCTTCGCCTCCTGCGATCACACACACACAGCCAGAGCACGAGTCAACAACAACAAACAACCAGGGCGTCCCAAACCCCAACCCAACCACCACCCAAGACCGAGCCGACACGGACCTGGGGGAGGAGCCGAGAAGGTGCGGCGCGGAGGGTGGCGGAGGCGCGCGGGAGGGCCACCGGGAGGAGAGCGGTGGTGCTGGATCGCGCCGCGGGGCGGCCATGCGAGGCGGAGGAGGTGGAGGAGAAGGCCGACGGCGCGGCGGCGTGGAGGGCGGCGAGTCGCTGGGCCGCCATGGGTGACGCTGGTGGTGGGTTGGTGGGAGGGAGGGGAGCGTGGCCTTTGGGGCGGGGACGAGGCGGAGTGAGGTGAAAAAAGTCCAGTCCACCACCACGCCCGCCGCCTTGGGTTTCGAGGGGGTTTTTCGCGGTTCGTTGGTGCTCAGGGGAGTAGTGGGGTTTGGTTTGGTTTAAAGTCCGCGCCGGACGCGGCGACGGTGGTGGTGGTGGGCCGCGCGGCTTTTCGGCGGCTTCCGGGGAGGGGAGGCGCAGGTGGTGGTGGCGGCGCGGTGTTTTCTGCCGTGTGATACGGTCTACTAGTACACCTCTACTGAGAACGGTGACTGGTGCAGTGTGTGTGTGCACTCGTGCTGGACCGTGACTCGTCGTACTCGTGATAGGATGACACGTCACGGTTGTTCGATTGTCCGGTTGTACAGTTATATTAAGGGTTAAGTCAAGCATTTTTAATTTTAGCTATTAATAAAAAATAAAAAAATCAATCACGTAAAATTGATGGTACTATATTTATTATGAAACAAATGGGAGAATAGTTGCTTTAGTCCCTAAAGTTTCTCCGTAGGATCAGTTTAGTCCCTAACCTTTTAAATGGTCCAAAGAAATCCTTAAACTTTATCACAAGTCCTAGAATAGTCATTGGGTCCACCAAAATCATCATATGGATATGCCATGTCATCATTCATGCAAAATCTATGATGAATTGTCCAATTTACCCTTACGTATATCATAGAAAAATAAATATAAGGGTGAATTAGACATAACCATAGGAAAAAAATACTCATCCTTTTTTTCACCGTTTGAGGTATACTTTTGCTCTTACATTTAACCTTTTATTTTTTTATTTTGCTATGATATATATAAGGGTAAATTGGACAAATCATATAGATTTTGCATAGGAATATGACATGGCATGTCCATGTGGCGATTTTGGTGGGACCAAGGACTATATCAGCCCACGTGACAAAATTAAAGGACTTATTTAGACAATAAGAAAGATTAAGGACTAAAATGACCCAGAAGCGAAACTTTAGGGACCATATTGGCTATTCTCCCGAAACAAATTATCATAATACACAGCTCTTTTTATTTAAAATATTTTATTTTTATTAATATTTGTTAGTCAAAGTAGCATTTTTATAGATATTTTACGACGGAGGAAATACAACAGATCCTATATCGGTTTTCTCTAGCATTTTTTTAAACAGCTAAATATAGAAATATTTTATACAAAAGTTGTTTTAAAATATCAAATAAATCTACTTTTTAAAGTTTAAAATAATTAACTTAATTAACTATAGGCTAATAATTTTTTCATTAATGTGTTACTTCCTCCGTTTTATATTATAAGACTTTCTAATATTGTCCACATTCATATATATGTTAATAAATCTAGATATATATGTGTGCCTAGATTTATTAATACTCCATCCGTCCCATAAAAATTGTATTTCTAGCTCCAAGGCTTTGTCCCACAAAAATTGTATTTCTAGTATGTTGGGCCTAACCAATTAATTCATCTATATAAGTTTCCTTCCATCCCACGTAATTTGGGCTGTTAATGCTTGTAATTTTGTTAAGTATGCTAATTATATGGGTTTATTCTCTCAAACTTCCTTTTAATCATTTGTATATATGGAATGTGTGCATACAGTGGGTTCATTAAATAAAGTTATTGTGGTCATTTTTCAATCATACTATTTTATCCTAAATTAGCTAGAAATGTAACTTTTATGGGACGGATGTAGTATCTTTATAAAAATAGGTAATGTTAGAATGTTTTATAACCTAAAACTGAGGTAGCAGTACTTCATCTTTGTCCGAAGCACTTCCGAACGAGGCCTACGTGCTTGCTTGGTAGTTTTGGATTATTCCTCGTTGCTGAGCTTTCACACGCGTTGTCATTTTCAACTCCAAAAGAGTGGTGGGGTCAACGGAAATGACTATTTTCTACAACATGCGGATGACTTTGGCGTGGTGCTCTTCCGTATTCATAGTTTAGTTTTACACGAGTTTGACATAAACTAACTCTATCATGTACATTACTACAACTTCTTATATATGAGTATATTGCAATATCTTTCCCTCTTTATCAGTTCATTGTTAGGAAAGATATCAACCTCCACGTTCACCCCATAAGTCTATAGTTGTTGTGACTAAGTCAACCATGAGTTAACCCAACATTTCAGCAGGCCTTGAGCCGGCCCATAGAGCTTTTGGCCCATAAGGTAAATACAAGGTGAAAAGCGCTATGGGCCCAGCCCATTGACAAACCGGCTGTTGCCCACGTGTGCCAGTGTCTACGTGTCACATACGGCGATAACGCGCGGAGGCGCAGCCGCCGCCGGTGGCGACGAGCACCGTACAGCAACCAACAAACCGATGCCGCTCGTCGTCGGCTGCCCCCGCCGCGGCCCGCCGCCGAGGCCCGCCGGCCGCGCCCAGCGCCCGCCTCCACCGCACTCCGTCGCGCCCAAGCGCGCCTCCTCCTCCTCCTCCTCCACCACTCCTCCGCTGCTAACCACCAGAAGGGCGGCATCCGCCGCCTCGCTGCTCCTCGCCGCCCTCCCCCCGTTCCCCGCCTCGTCGCCGCAACTCCCCGTGGCATCCGCGAAGGAAGACGATGAAGCAGAAGCGAGAGAGGGCGAGGGAGAGCTGGAACTGGAACTGGAACTGGAACTGGAGCGGTACACTGACCGGGACGAGGGCTTCACCCTGCTCAAGCCCGTCTCGTGGCCCAAGGTACGCAAAACACTCTGAACTCTGAACTATGTGGTAATGCAACGTAGGGTAATTGCGTGAGCACGCATCGTGCAATGCAGTAGAAATTGATGCGCTGGTATTGTGTGGATTGGAGCTGTGAATTTTGAGGTTTCTGTGGCGTGATTTGGTGAAGGTGGAGAAGGCCGGGGCGACGGCGCTCTTTCAGCAGGAGGGGAAAGGGAGTAACAATATTGGTATCGTTGTTAATCCCGTCCGCCTATCGACGCTGACAGAGTTTGGCACACCGCAATTTGTCGCTGAAAGGCTGATTCAGGCTGAGAAGAAAAAGGTAAATGCATGAACGATCCTTTTGGACATTGCAATTTGTCAGCTCCATGCTATTTCCTAGTGATTTTTCATGATTTCACATTTGAAGTGCACTACTAATTAGATTAGATGGACGCTGATTAATTATCATATAGGGGTCTGTGATACATCTTGTATTGTTGCTTAGCTTGTGTGACAAATTGACAGTAGCATATGTAAATAAACAGTTATGTGAAAACTCAACTTAGTTAATTTTATTGTTTTGCTTATGATTGCCTGTAAAGGATCAGTTGTACTTGAGGAGTTCAATGCTAGTATCGACAGTTGGTTTGAATCCTTTCCGTTAATACAGGAAAGCACCAAATCTGCAGAGGTTATTTCTGCTGAAGAGAGATCAGGCCATGATGGCCTGACAGTGTATGAAATCGAATACTTACTGGATAGTACAAGGGGAGGGATGAAGAGGATATTTTCGGCTGCATTTGTTGCTTCTAGGAAGCTCTATCTGTTAAATATAGCCCACTCGGATAGCCAGGAGAAGCCCTTGGACAGCCAGACTAGAAATGTTCTTGAACAAGTTCTCCATTCTTTTGATTCTGTATAGTTGCTTTCTTTTAACAGGAGAGGCATTCCTTTCTCTTGTCTGTTCCCATAACATTGTTCTTTTGCAACCATTAATCGAAATGCCTGTATCTTTGTGTTAATATGGTATTTTTAGAAATACATTATAACCTGTTTCCCAAATATGTCATCAGTATTTCAGCATCTTTGGAGCCTTTGTTTAAGGAAATGGAAGCATGTTTTATACTACATTCCAGGGAATCTTCCATTGAATAACCCATTTTTGCATCACAACCAATGTAACTCAAGTTGTAAAATATCGGTTGCTTCTATGCTATTATTTATCTATATTTTCGGGGTTCATGTTGTATACAAAGTCCTTTCTTATATTTAAACGTTGTAACCGACATTGCACATGACATAATATAGCGAGAAGAAAAGAGACATTGTCCATCAGTATTAGATCAGAAAGCCATCTTAATCTTCATCTGGGTAACTGTTCTTTGATTGATTCAGATAAAATGAGCACTGCAACTAAAGTTTTGATTCGACAAATCAGTGAGCAAATAAGACTTCTGTGACCTGCAAACTGCTTGAAATTGGGATATTAAAAAGCGCTTCTTACGGTTGCACTTGTTGTTTCTGTAAAGCTGTATAAGCTGAATACAGCAGTAGCCTACTCAAATACATTGGAGAGGCCATAGGACATCTGAACTAGAACGGAGCATGACAACACGTCTTTAGTAGAGTTATTATGAACCTTTGCAGAATGGTTTGATGACTTTGATCTCTTCAACTGCATAGGTACGTCTAAACCCATTCTTCTTAGCAATATGTTGTATGTAAATGATACTCAAATTTATGTTTTCTTGCAAACTTGTACAGGAGTGATATGTCAATTGATGCTGCTAAAAAGGCTATTCCTCCTAAACAATTTCCCTGTTCTCCGAGTACAGTTGTCTGTTTAAGCAGGATATGCTATTTTCAAGATTCAGGACAATATGGATGTTGCTGCACATATAAGGAAATTATTCCGCTTGAAGGTGCACACTTCCATCGATGAGCATCCTAAATACAGTGCATTGTGAGTGCTAAAATAACAGCATTGCATCCTTGTATCCTTTCAGAATTACCAGGTCTTCATGAGCATATCGGTTACACTCTGCATGCAATTCTATACTAACAGAGTTCAACGAGATAGTCATTCGGGAATGTTCTTTTTTCAAAGCAGGGAAGTTGAAAAGAGTAAGACTTATCAACTTCTTTCCTTAAAGAAAGTTTACTTTCATTTTCACTTAGGAAAATACAGTGTATTGAGCAGTGCTGAAATAACTGCATTGAATTCTTATATGTTTTCAGGATTACCAGGTCTTCAGTAGCAGATCAGGTACAGTGTGCATAGATGCATGCAGTGCTATCTTCCACCGTTCCATGAGAGAGTCATCCAGGAATACTCCTTTTCCATAAGAAGGCAGGGAGAAATTCAAAAGGCGTAAGACTTATCAACTTCTTTCCTTAAAGAAAGTTTACTTTCATTTTCACTTGGGAAAATACAGTGCATTGAGCAGTGCTGAAATAACCGCATTGAATTCTTATATGTTTTCAGGATTACCAGGTCTTCAGTAGCAGATCAGGTACAGCGTGCATCGGTGCATGCAGTGCTATCTTCCACCGTTCCATGACTCCATGAGAGAGTCATCCAGGAATACTCCTTTTCCATAAAAAGGCAGGGAGAAATTCAAAAGGAGTAAGACTTATCTACTTCTTTCCTTAAAGAACGTTTACTTATCTACTTCCTTCCTTAAAGAACGTTTACTTTCATTTTCACTTGGGAAAACACATGCTACCAGTGGCTGCCTAAATTCAAAATCATCCATGGAACAAAAAAAGAATGCGAAAATAGGTTTTGATCATTGTGACACCTTTTAGGCATGAAAAACAAAAGCAGATTCACATGCTTCACACACGAGTAGGATGGCTGTACACAACATTCTGGCAATCTGGCCTGTTTGTGGGTGGTTATGCTGTTGCAAGTTGCCACCAACAACCATGCATCCATGATCCATCCCCCATATTGGTTCGAAGTGCAGGCTGGAAATGGATCATGAATGAGAAGGCATCTGTGCCGCAATCTGCAATCTTTTGCAATTTTTATTTTTGATAGTAGTCAACGGGTTCTCTCTTGTTTACTCCCAGAAGAAAGCGACACGCTGTCGTTCCCCTCCTAGATGTGAAATCGGATGCCACTTTTAAGAGTAGCACTAGAAAATTTCTGCCGAAGATTAACATGTTGGCACGTTAGCATGACAGCATCATGTGGAAGGGATGCGTCCACCCGTTCTGCACCAGTGGCTACATTCAATTTGCTTCTTCCATTCGTATGATTCGGTTGCTCCTTGATACTAGCAAGCTACTGGCGTTCACACATTCACTTCAGAAAGCAACTGACTTAGGGCCTATTTAGTTCGCGAAAAGAAAATTTTTAGGTGGTCACGTCGGATGTTTGATTGGATGTCGGAAGGGGTTTTTTGGACACAAATGAAAAAACTAATTTCATAACTCGCTTGGAAACCGTGAGACGTATCTCTTGAGCCTAATTAATCCGTTATTAGCACATGTGGGTCACTGTAGTACCTATGGCTAATCATGGACTAATTAGGCTCAAAAGATTTGTCTCGCGATTTCCTCCCTAATTGTACAATTAGTTTTTTAAAAATCTATATTTAATGCTTCATACATGTGTCAAAGATTCGATGTGATGTTTTTGGAAAAAAATTTGAGGAAGTAAACCAGGCCTTAAGCATAGCGAGTAACACTAGCACGGTACGTTCTGCTTGCTGTCTCACTATGTATGCACGCATGAACTTGAGATTTTTTTTTTTCCATATTCCTTTTTGTTCTTGATTTACTGAACAGAACAGCATAGTACAAGTCATTTTTTCAGCCCTGCACTATAGTGGTGCATAAAAGATCTATAAACTTATTCCGTTTTATGAATAGCAGTGCTCCTGCTTACTTTTTTTTAAAAAAAGAAAAAGATAAATAAAAGAGCTCCAATACGGTGCTCTCTATTGTTAGTAGAAACCAATCGGTTATCTTATTTGATCAAAGAGTTCAGATCTACTTATACTAGCATCTGTAGTAGAAACATAGGACACTATTTAAAAAAAATATGTGGATAGGTATGATCGTCATTTAGTAGTGACTAAATATTTTTTTCTTTTGGCTTTTTAGATGCAATATGAGTGATGCTAGTGCAATGGATTACCACATATCGATCTAGCTAGAAAAAACATAAATAATAAAGTTATCCCTAATAATTGTATTATTAAATTATTGATTTACCTTTCATACCAAACGTTTCAAATTATTTTTAGTGATAGTATAATACTTTATAAAGGCACTAATTTGATGTAGGGATTTGTGCGTATTAGTACGTACATTTCATAATCATAACATTACCAGTACGTCATTACCTTACCCAATACGTGAAGGGGCTTGACTGTACCATTATTGTTCTGGAGAAGGTGAAGGAGTATTCTTCCGCTGAAAGAAACGTGCTCAATTTTCTTAGCTTACGTAGCACTTGACATTTCAAAGGCTACTTTTGGATGTTTCTGTGACAGCAACAGCTACGTGCCTACGTGTGGACGCTGCAATAATAATACAAGCCGCATCCAATTTTGGGGAAAAATATTTGCACCAGCGGATATTCTATTCGCCCAGTCAACGGAGATGGCTTCGCGGGTGGCCCACCACGTTTGAATATGAAGCAATGTGCGTGCCCATATGTTAGTAAATCTTTATTTCTATTTTTCTATATACTGTACCAGCAGCATAAATGCAATTAAATTTGTAGCAATCGAACATGCTCAACTGTGCTGACATAAAACAACTCATCACATTTTAGGCAATTTTGTATCTGTATAGTTAGAGCATCAGCAATGGGTGTCTTCAGCTCGTCCCCTCACCCTAAGCCGTTCGCTTTTCCGTCCGAGCCACCTCCCCATGATGCGACGCGACCTCTGGCTGAGGGACGCGCCTCTCGCCGCTTTTTGGCGGAGCGACGCAGCCGAGAGACCCATTGGGGGGCGACGGGCTCCTATGGGCACCGGTTCCCCAGCTCATATTCCTATTCCACCCTTGGCCGGAGGAAGGGGATGAGGACGACGCGGCGCAGGGGCAAGGCGTGTGCGTGCACTCGGGGCAGAGCCGGAGTCGCCGCCGGACGAATCGCCGCACTGCATGCAGACCACATCCAAGCAAATCCAGATTGGGAAGGAAGAAAGAAGAGCAAGCAAATCCGGGACGGCGCCGAGGCCCGCCGCCGCCCGCCATCCGCCGTTGGCCACCCCGCCCTGTGTCCTGCTCGCCTTGCGGAGGGAGAGAGGCGGCGACGGGCGGAGGGATAGCCGTGCGCCGCTCGCCGCTCGCCGCGCGCTGTCGATGCCGCCGCTTCGATGCTGGCGGCAGGGTGGGGCGGGGATGCCTCCTGGCATCGGGGACGAGAGAGGAGGCGGAGGAGACGAGAAGACGCGAGAGAAGAGAAGAGAGCGACGGTAGAGAGGAGGGAGGTGGCGGCGGCGGTGGCGAGCGGCGGGGGAGAGCGGCGGCGGCGAGCGGGGGAGAGAGGAGGGAGGTGGCGGCGGCGGCGAGATGGGCGACGAGGGCGAGAAGAAGAAGCGAGAAGAAGCGGCGGAAGAAAAGAGAAGGAAGAAGCAGCGGAAGAAAAGAGGGGTATTTGGGGATTTTTTATCTGGGGCTACTTTGGGCCAAGACACCCATTGTGGGCTATAGTACTCTTATCGGGTTGCTTCAGATTTTGAGGAGCCCACCTAGAGATACCTCCCATTGCAAGCTGAGTTTCCTATTGGTGAGGACACTCTAGGGGTGTCTCACATTATGAATGCCCTTAGCTACCAATGCTAGTCATACAAGTGAAGACAAATTTTGTTCGTTCACGTATTGTGCATGATAGGGGAGGCGTATAAAAACTCTTGAACTCACAACTAATTAAAGCCTTTGGCAAGTTTTTGTTTATGGAAATTCGTTGTTTGATCTCTAAGCAAAAAGTTTAGCATTAAACACAAAGTATGTCACTCATCTCTAAGCAACAGTATAAGGGAAGAGCTAATATTCAACAAAACTTTGTATGGTTGCTACTACAGAAAAGGAGAGATCAAATACAAAAGTTAGTAGCCCTGCCTCATTGTACTAACAGAAAATAATGGTACAAACACAACGCCAAAACATCTTAAGCATGTCTGTTTTTATCTAATATAGACACTACTGATGAATCGAAAATTTAAGCCCACTAAACTACACAAGCACTATTTTAATCTACTCCTTATGTTACAAAATGCAAGTCATTGTAGCAAAGGGGTAAAACAACTTAATAATAACAGAGTTTGTATTATTTACACTTTAAGAGTACACACGACATTTGCCACGTGAATATTAACTACTCTATCTGTCCCAAATAGAGCTCAATTTGAAATCTTTGGAGAGATTTACAATTGATGTGAAAGGTCTGAAATGTCCTCACTAAGGCCTGGTTTAGTACCTAAAAAATTTCCCCAAAAACATCGCATCAAATCTTTGAACATATGCATGGAGCATTAAATATAGATTAAAAAACTAATTGCACAGTTAGGGGGAAAATCATGAGACGAATCTTTTGAGCCTAATTAGTCTATGATTAGCCATAAATGCTACAATAACCCACATGTGCTAATGACAGATTAATTAGGCTCAAAAGATTCGTCTCGCGGTTTCCAGGCGAGTTAAGAAATTAGTTTTTTTTATTAGTGTCCGGAAACCCCTTCCGACATCCGGTCAAACATCCGATGTGATACCCAAAAAATTTTCTTTTCACAAATTAAACAAGCCCTAAAGTCACTAAAGTGCTCACTTTGGTTGGCGAGCTGTGGAGTGATAGCAAGTGCTATAATAGATATGATCAGTATCTCTAAATTTATCAATGTCACTCACTCATAAATTAAGAGGCAACGTATAGAAATATTGCACCTCTAATACACAAATACCAACACCTTTTAAACACTCACACTCACTTTTTGGAGTTTATGTGAAAGTTGCCTCTTGATTTATGAGTGACTCATCATCTCTCCTTCTCTACTCTATCTCATCACTCAATCATATTTGGTATTTTTAGAGGCATCACATGAATCATTATGACACTTGCTATGACAAGAGTAGGATGAGAAGAATGATACTAAAATTCATCTTTTATGTATTCTAGGTGGTGTTTTTATAGATGAAGATAAAGTCGGTGCATGTAAAACAAGAAAGTCATTAATGTATAATTAATTTAGTTTAATTATTATTGATTTGGAAAAATATATTTATTTAATATTTTAAAGCAAAACCCGTATAGAAAATTTTCTATACGAGAAAATAGTAGTACGGAGTACATCTTAAGGGCCCCTTTGAATCACAGGAATGAAAAAACAGAGGAATAGGAAAAACATAGGATTCTGACAGGAATGCAAGTGTAAAACAGGTGATTCCAAAACACAGGAAAAATATAGGAATGACCGTTTGATTGGACAACAGGAAAAACACATGAATTTGAGAAGAGATAAAGACAAATGATTTCTTCCATGAGGTTCTACCTCTTGTTAAAATTCCTCCAAAACTTGTATGGGAAGAGGCATCCCATAGGAATTTCATAGGATTCCATATAGTTCATTTCTTTGATTCAAAGGGCTTTATAGGAAAAATTCCTATAGAAATAAAATTCTCTAAAATTTGTATAAATTTCCTTTGAATCAAATGGGCCAGGAAAGGATTGGGCTAAATTATAGGCGGAATGGACCGAGAAGCTAAATTACTAGCGAGTCAGGCACTCAGGCTAGGCTGGATAGGAAAGAGATGGGAATCCTAGTCAACGCAAAGATCCTGAAACTCTGTCTACAACCATGCAAACAAAGAACGGATACGTAGGAGCAATAGCCGTCTATATAGCGTAGAAGTAGCCACAACATCGCAGCTTTGCCTCCCTTCCTACCCAACACGAGGCAGAGAGGAGAAGCTCCCCCCGCTCAACTCACCAAAACCCTCCTCCCCTCGAAATCCTTCCCAAGACGCCGCACGCTTCTCCATTTCATATAAGATTCCCGAGAGACGCCGCCGCCCGAGAGGCGTGGGCCGCGCGCGCCGAAACATATCCCGCCGGGGCGCCGCCATGGCCGGCGAGGTGGCCATCGACTCCGGCGAGAAGCGCCTCAACGAGCTCGGGTACAAGCAGGAGCTCCGCAGGGAGATGGTGCGGTTTTTTTCATTTACCACCGCCCCCTCTTTCTTTCTCTCTGTTTCTCTTCTGGATTTCAATTTGAAAATGATCGTGGGGGGTTATAAGATCGATAGGAACGATCAGGGAGTCGTGAGATTTGACTAAATTCGTGGCTAATTTCCTCCCGTTCACACCGGAATTCTCTTGCGTGATTTGGCTTTAGTTTCTTCACGGTTTTGCATTTGATCTTTGGATTCTTGGTAGTAGTTAGTTCTCTTCCTTCTCTTCATTTTTGTTCTTCAAGAGATTGATTGATGATATGTTTTTTTTTTCTTGGGCATGTTGTTCTTTAGACTCTGTTCAAGACGCTGGCCATCTCCTTCTCGACGATGACGCTGTTCACCGGGATCACGCCGCTGTACGGGAGCAGCCTGCGGTACACGGGGCCGGCCAGCCTCGTCTGGGGCTGGGTCGTCGTCTCCTTCTTCACCTGGTTCGTCGGCTTCGCCATGGCCGAGATCTGCTCTTCCTTCCCCGTAAGCACACCCCTCTTCGTCTCTCCTCCCTTTGGCAATACCATTTCTTGGATCGCAGTTTGGCCGTCCTCCTCCATGCCGTGGATAAATTTGCTGAAAACTATAATTGGATTGCAATTATCATGGAAACTTGGTGCTCATCGAGTTGCTCTGTTTAGACATTTGGGTTGTTTAGATTAATGTTATTTCAAAATATACCTTTTTCTTTTCTAAAAGTTGTTAAAAATGTGCATACATTTAGTTTTCTACCAAACTTTGATACATACTTAAGGAATCTTGCCAAAATTTAGCACTATTGCCAACTTACCAATCCGACTTAGTTTATTTTAGCAATAAATGCATTTAGTTTTTTGGTAAGGTTTATTTCAGCAACAATCCCTTGGTTTGCTTCTGATACAACTTTCAATGGAACAGTCGACTTTTTGACGGCAAATTTCGATTACGATAGCTAATTTATGTTCGTTTTACTTCAACCCACTACTATAACATTTCGAAGTTGCTTGCTGTCTTGGAATTTAGTTTGCCTTTTAAATTGCAAATTAGTTTGAAATACCTGCCTCTCTACTAAATGGTACTATTTCCAATCATAGTGGGCAAGGCAGGCATAACTTACGTAACACTACACTACTACTTACGTTAGGCCAACATCAACCCCAACTTTAATCACAGTTAGTTTGAATCCCCGTAAAATGTTTGTGACCTTTGTCACTAGCATTACACATTTGTTTTACCTGGGTGATGCTAGCGTTAAGTACTCTCTCACGGCTGTTTTGTTTTGTAGTAGTAGTAGTAGTACTTGTTTCCAGCACTATTGCATCTTTGATTAATTATAAGCCTGCCTGCTGTCACTGTTCTGTTGACTACTCACATTAGTACTACAGCATAGACTCCGCAAACGCGCCATCAGCACATGACATGCATCCTTGAAATTTTTGAAAAAAGAAATAGGTTTTGCAATCCAGTTCTGACTCTTGAGTTGCAATATGGCATGGTTGAAACTTTCAACGCATCATTTTGCTGTACTTACAGTACTCTATTTGTTTTGCCGAAGAAAGCTGGCTGTTTCTGATAATCTACTGATGGCATCGTTTTTCCTTTTGAAACCAGACCACTGGTTCTCTGTACTTTTGGGCTGCTCATCTGGCTGGCCCAGTCTGGGGCCCGTTGGCATCTTGGTGCTGTGCTTGGTTAGAGGCCATAGGTCTTATTGCCGGAATTGGTACACAGGTATGCTCTTTTGTCAATTGTTCTCTGTAGTAGAACATGGTCAGTCACACGCTTGATCCTTTTCTAGCTGTGTTCTCATTTCTGGTCAGTACTCAGTAGTATCCATTTTGTTATTAGGTGGAAGCAAATTAAATGTTATCCTAAGAAAACATCAAATCAAATGTTACTGTCCATTTCGGTTGTGGACTTTCAGCACTGCCATGGACTTAAAAATGCAAAGCAATCCGTTACATTTCTCATGCTAAACCTCTTAATTCGTAGCAAAAACCGTCTGTTTGTTCCATTTCTTTGAGCATTTCAATCAACCGTATTGCGCTTGCGCAGGCATTCGCGGGATCTCAAGTTCTGCAGAGCATAATCCTGCTATGCACCGGCACGAACAAAGGCGGCGGCTACCTGACCCCTCGCTGGCTGTTCCTCCTCATGTACATCGGCCTAACCTTCATCTGGGCCGTGCTCAACACCTTCGCGCTGGAAGTCATCGCCTTCCTCGACCTGATCTCGATGTGGTGGCAGGTGACAATCCAACCAACAATCCCTTCCGTGTTCATCCCAAGATCAGTACTCACTCCGTTTTAAAATATAACAAACTTGTACTGAATGAGACATAACCTAATACAATGAATCTAGAAGAAGTCTGTCCATCTGGACGGAGGGAGTAGTAGTTAATTTTGATCGAGCTGCCATTGACGATGCTTCTGTGTGTGTGTGCAGGTGATCGGTGGCACGGTGATAGTGATCGTGCTGCCGCTGGTGGCGAAGACGACGCAGCCGGCGTCGTACGTGTTCACGCACTTCGAGACGGCGCCGGAGGCGACCGGGATACGGAGCAGCGCCTACGCCACCATCCTGTCCCTCCTGGTGAGCCAGTACTCCCTGTACGGCTACGACGCGGCGGCGCACCTCACCGAGGAGACCAAGGGCGCCGACAAGAACGGGCCCATCGCCATCCTCTCCAGCATCGGCATCATCACCGTCTTCGGCTGGGCCTACATCCTCGCCCTCACCTTCAGCATCCAGGTTGGTACTCCTCATCCTCTTCCTCTTCATCGAGCTCGGGACAAAAAATCACCTCTTATCTCTTATGATCTAGCTAGGCAGAAGAAGAATCGCTGCACTTAGTTGTTATTAATAATTAAGTGAAAAAAATATAATTGGTATGGTTTAGAACGCATGTTAACAACGCCTTCATCAGTATTAGTTCTTCAAGATAGCTATGATTATCATCGAACATGGAGTTTAGAAAAAAATTGTTCTAGATGAATTTAATGAAGTTTTAAAAATTGGAGTGAAAAGATCCTAACCATATTAGAATACATTGACATAGATTATGTATAATTTTAGGGCCCCTATTTTTTTGGGACTATCTATATTTATAGCGTCATATTTTTCAACAAAAAATAGTCGGCATGTATTTACATTGTAGCTTCCTAAATTACATATGTAATTTTAGTGTATTTACAATATAAATCCCAAAAATACATATATAATTCCTAAAATTACATATGTAAATCCCAAATTTACATATTAATTACATATGTAAGTGATGTATAAGTGATGTGTAACTACTGTGTAAATTCGTATAAATATATAAATAATTATTAATTTTACAACGGAGGTGAAGTGCTAATGAGCTTGGAGCTTGATTAGGTGCAGCTGGTTCTTTCGCATAAGGTGTAAGATGGGTGCATGTGCTTGAAACGAATCTTATCGGAGGATCTCACGGTTAAAACATCCGACTGTAAATTATCCTAAAATATGTCGACATAAATTTAGCAATATCGATTTTTTTTTGTTGCCTGTGCGATCGCACATCTCGCACTTGCCCTAGGAATGGCCTGACATGAACTCTGTTCCTGTGTGTGCGCAGGACTTCAGCTACCTGTTCGACCCGAGCAACGAGACGGCCGGCACGTTCGTGCCGGCGCAGATCCTGTTCGACGCGTTCCACGGCCGGTACGGCTCCTCCGCGGGCGCCATCGCCCTCCTCTTCGTCATCTGGGGCTCCTTCTTCTTCGGCGGCCTCTCCATCACCACCAGCGCCGCGCGCGTCGTGTACGCGCTGTCCCGCGACCGCGGCGTCCCGCTCTCCTCCGTGTGGCGCCGCGTCCACCCGCGCCACCGCGTCCCCGCCAACGCCGTCTGGCTCTGCGCCGCCGCGTGCGCGCTGCTGGGCCTCCCCATCCTGTGGATCAACGTCGTCTTCACGGCCATCACGTCGATCGCAACCATCGGCTGGGTCGGCGGCTACGCCGTGCCCATCTTCGCCCGCATGGTGATGCGGGAGGAGGACTTCTCGCCGGGGCCCTTCTACCTCCGGCGCGCGTCGCGGCCGGTGTGCCTCGTCGCGTTCCTGTGGATCTGCTACACCTGCACCGTGTTCCTCCTCCCGACGGCGTACCCGATCAGCGCCGGCAACTTCAACTACGCCCCCGTCGCGCTCGGCGCCTGCCTCGGCCTCATCGGGCTCTGGTGGGTGCTCGACGCCAGGAGGTGGTTCAAGGGACCCGTCAGGAACATCGACGATCCTCTGAAAGATGGTGGTGGTGATGGCGTCCATAACAATGGCAACAAGGTCTAAGTATGGTTTAGGTTGTTACTGGAGTACTTAGTTTGAGCAGATCATTAGCTCAAGCCAAATTGATCACATTCTCGATAGAGTTTTTTTTTCCCTCTCTTGTGTTGTCTCCTACTTTGTTGTGTACGTGTACTATTCTGTGACACTATCAATGGGGTTAGTTTAGGATGTGGAGAAAACTTTGTGCCATATAGAATGACTTAAATTAGTTACATGTATCACATACTTAGAACAGAGCACGCAAGCATTATGAAGACACAAACTAAATTAAATTGTATTAGCTTGGAGGAGGAGGAAGGAGCACCGAAGAACGATAGGCATGACAGGCATCGGGAAAACACCGAAACACATGCTTAAGTGCTTAACCCCTGAATTCAGAAGAGAGGCTGTGTTGGGGCTTTCCTCCACGGTCTCATGCCAACCGCTCTTGGACACACATTTCCCCCTCTTCCCCGGCTCACTTCCAATTTTCTCAAAGGCATCTATCATCGATCAAAATTTTGTGTGTGTTGTATGTTTGTTTACTGTGCTAAGAAAATTATATCAGCAAAAAAAGGAAGAGGAAGGAAGTTCCAAGAACGATAGGAATGGGAGGCATCGAGAAAACATAAGAGCGAAATCTCCACCTGCAACATTCTAGCGAATGGGAGGGGATGGATAGATGGATAGAGCTCATGCTTTCTCATATGTTCCCAGTCCTACTACTCTTGGAGCCTCTCTTTCTTCCTCTTCCCAAGCTCACCAAAGGCCTGAGGCTACAACTACAAGAGTTTCGAAAATAAGAAAAGAAATCTGGGATGTTGAATAGTGTTATAGGTGCATCCTGACTTCTGACTATATATATACTCACTCTAGATGCACTATAAAGAAGTAATGGGACACTGTGAGCCAAATCAATGCACGAACCTACTGCACGGTGCAACGCAGCTTTCACCAGTCAATGACAGTGGGCCCGGGACTTCTACGGTCAAATTGTGTCAACGAAGTGCAAGCACACCGGGGATCTTCTGACGGATTTGCGTATCTACTCCATCTGTCAATGTTGGGTGTATGTGACATATCCTAGTAAAATGAATATAGACAGACCGTTGTGTCAGATCCACTCCAAAATCCCTTATATTATAGAACGAAAGGAGTAAACAACTAGCATGCGATAGAGAAACAATGCATTCATTCAGCCAATCAGCCTCTTCAAGAACTGGAGCAACCAGGGAGGAAATGATTCAATCCATACAAAGCTTCAGTTATTAATGCTTGTGAATACTATGCGAGAAGAATGGCGATCACCAGAACCAATAAAAAAAACACCCACAATTTTGAAGTATCTGCTCCGTATCATATGACATATCGTCAAATCTGAAATTACCCCATGATGGAACACTGGAAGGTTTTCGCACGAGGAAAAGAAAAAACATGCATCAATTTCACTTTTTCTTTTTTGTGGAGAAAGTTGAACTTCAAAACTTCTTTCGTTTGAAAGGGCCACTGGAATTCACGTAGGAGACGACGAGAATGGGCCGCAACTAGGCCCAATTTCGAGTAAATTGGGCCAGCCCAATACGCAAAGGAAGACACGAGGGGGGGGGAGGGGCATTCGGGGAAGAGAGAAGGGAAGGGCCTCTTCGTCGGCGGCGACCGCGAGCTTCCGCTTCCGACATAGCATCGCCGCTCGCCGGATCGGAGAGCGAGGGGAGCACGCCGTGCGCGAGGAGGGCAGCGGGGGCGCGCGGGGGATACGGTTGGAGGCGCTTCAGCTACGGCCGGCCGAGGACCTGCGGCGAGTTGGTTCCGTGAGTTCCTCTTCTCCATCTCTCGTGCTCTTCTGCAACTAGAATCTGTGATGCAATGCGATCCTGTGATTTATGCGATGTGTTTCGAATCAATGCAAGTGTCTGTGCTTGGCTCGTGAAAATGATTTGTTTGATGGTTTGCCAACCCACCCGTGAGGTATTTTTGTTTCTAAATTCACGGAAAAGTTGTTGGTTGTAGGTACATACGTCAGGTTAGATTTAGTGGAATCGTATTAGATCAAGTTGGTCACCTTCTTAGGAGAAAACTCAACGGCAAATTAACATCTCTGTTCAGTTGACTGTACTCATGCAGTAGTGGAGCACAGGAGCTGGAAGATAAACATGTGGGAGCTAGAGTGATAGGAATGCAGCACTCATTTTTTTTGGGAATAGAACGCACTCAATTTAGTATTTTATTTGTTAGAATTGAAGTGGTAAAAGCCATGCGGCATTATGAATGTTTCGAGACAAAATGAGGGTCTGCCCATGATTCATTCTGAGACTGACTGAACCATGAAGCTGCCTTTTGTTTAGAAAAAGTCGAGAAAAGGGTACACTTGAGATTTTTTCACTGAGCTATCTGGGTTAGGATATTCTCAAATGGCAACTTTTGTAGTGGCAAACTGGCAAGTGGCAACTGGCAAATCCTTGATTCCCCTCTTTGATAACTTCGTGCAAGCCAAAAGGAAGAGGAAAGGAACACCTGAGAACAATAGGCATGGGAGGTATTGGGAAAACACAGGAACATATTGTGACCCCTAATTTTAAAGGGAAATAATGGTTGAGGCTTTCCTCCATGTTCCCATGCCTAATGCTCTTAGGTGCTCTTTTTCTTCCTCTTCCCAATTTGCCTTCAAGACCTCATCATCTATACTACTGCCAAGCAGATTATATGAGCCAAAGGGAAGAGGAAGGAGTACCTAAGGACAATAGGCTTGGGAGGCATCGGGAAAACATCAAAACAAGTCGACCCCGCTATTTTAGAGGGACAGAAGAGTTTGAGCTTTCCTCCATGTTCCCATGCCCACTGCTCTTAGGTGCTCTATTCTTCCTCTTCCTGACCCACTCTCTCAATCTCATCATCCAAACCTAAACATTAATATATTTTTCTCAACTAAAATATCTCTATGAGCTGAAAGGAAGAGGAAGGAGCACCTAAGAACGATAGGAATGGGAGGCATCGGGAAAAATACTGAGACAAATATCCACCTCCACTTCCAGAAGTGAACACTGAGAGCTCATTTTTCCTCTATGTTCCCATTCCCACTGCTCTTAGACTACCTCTTTCTTCCTCTTCCTCGCTCATCCCAAAGACCTAAGGCTCCAAAAGTTTCAGATTGAGAACATGATCTGTTGATGATGCTTGCTGTGTTGAAGTATATATAGACAGTAAGTGAAACACCATGCGTATATACTGTACATGAGGCAATAAGTATGCACACATCATAGCAAACCATAACACACAACAGTCAGTGACAGTGGGCCACAGATCATCTATTGCTAATGTAGACCTCATGCAATGGAGGCATCGGTGTACATCTTCTGCTTATGCTCATGTAAAAAAGCTGACATGGTAGTCCTTGATTTTGAGCCTTGCAAGGTTGGTCATTAAATCTGAGCCATGCATTTACAGAAGGAAGAAAGGAACTTGTACCATGAATTCATTCTGATTATTTGAGAATGATAGTTAGGTGGATGAAGAAATAATAGTGCATATGTGGAGGATCACCGGAACCAAGCAAATAATTTCTCACAATTAAAGATGATCTGCCCAACATATGATCCTAGCCATTTGCTCATGAACATTACAATGTCCACATAAGCAAAGCACACATCACACATCATGTAAGCGTGAGCTCCATTGGCTGATGGGTCCACGCAGGGCATGGAACAAAACTAAAAATTATCATATAGTAGTATTTGGTTTTACTAAAGGAGAAACTATCATGAACTCTTGATTAACACAATCCCTTTGAAGACCAGAACTCTGCCACATTAGTTTTATGGTCATTAGTACATAAGTCAATGTATGCACCGAACAGCACAAAAGTACCAGTTTCAGCTGTGTGGTACCTAATGCAGAATCTAGTATTTCCAGGACAGACTTGATTCCTATTGACTTGGCAGAGTGAGAAATTTTGAGAAACAACGGATATTTAGCTCAACTTCTGCTTAACCAATGTATATAACAAATGATAAAAGTATTTGTGAGTCTAAGCAAAGAGTAATAAAAGCAACTGATTCCACTACCATCTGTTCATTTGAGGCAAAATATATTTAGAGAGCTGCGAAATTGTTTTGTCACTATTATTGTGCTGCCTCTTGCTATTCTATGTGCATTTGCATTTCTTTGCTATTCCCCATTTGTTATCTCATTGAGCATAGGAACAGCTGAAGTCATCTAAATCATGTTGCATGCTAAATTGCTAGGTAATTCTACAAATGATCTTGAGTGTTCATTAGATGTCCCATTCTCTCTTTCTCTCTTTTCTGTCCACTCTAGTGTCCACGCATCAGTGTCAGCTCAAATTATCTTGCTCATAGCATTCTGGGTTTCAATTTTTCTAATTTATGTAATATCAACAAAAGCAAATCTGATTGAACTATATTTTAAATCTCAAGTGCTAACTACATATATATCCAGCTTTAAAGTTGTTTGCATAGTGCATTGTATTTTTGTTAGTTTGTTCCAACTCTTATTTAGAGCCGATGTATCAACCTTCTCGTTGCAAGTTTTTTCCCCTAACATGGAAAAGTTTTGCATGTAATTTCATTCGGATGGTTCCAAGTTACCGCCGTAATTTTTCAGTAATCCTAAACGTGCATTCATCTGTGAGTTTGTAACAGAGTTCACACTTGCACACTGCAGTTGTATCAAGTGAGCAGTGTGTACTGTGTAGGCATCGGTACAATGGTGAACCTTTTTATTGCCGATGTACATACTGCAGCTTTCAGAAATAACCCATCTGAAATCTTCATCTAAAACATTAGAAATCGTTAACTAGCAAAAGTATTCCTCTTTTTCTTCATAAAAGTACACTATATAATTTCATTAACATTTGAATACTGGCCAGGTCACTAGAGTTTTATAAATCACATAACTTTCTTACTGTGATGGGACTTCAGTACTGATTCCTTACTAGGTAAAATCCACCAACTCTAGAAAAAATACAGTGTGAAACACAGGCTGAACCAAGATTCAGAAACCATCTCTACATATGCATGCTTTACATGGCGAGAAAAATAAAAACACTCTCAAGAAATTGAGCAAGCCAACAGGAAGTGGAAGGAGTGCCTAAGAACTGTAGGCATGGGAGGCATTGGGAAAAACACACAGCAAATTTCAACCTCTAACTTTAGAGGGGAAGAAAACTATATATGTTTTTTCCTCCATGTTCCCATGCCTGCTGCTCTTAGACTCTCTTTTCTTCCTCTTCCTGACTCACTGTCAAGGCCCAAAGCCCCAAATCCTCATTATCTAGACACATGAATATGTTTGGATATTTTTCACTCCCTCCACTAAAATATTGTGCGAACCAAAAGGAAGAGGAAGGAGCATCTGAGAACAATAGGCATGGGAGGCATCAGGAAAACAAGGAAACCAAATCTCAGCCCCTAGTTCTAGAGGCGAAGAAGAGTTTGGGCTTTCCTCCATGTTCCCATGCCCACCGCTCTCAGACCCTCTTTTCTTCCTCTTCCTGATCCACTTCCAATGACTCATCATCTAAACCTATGCATTGGCACTTCTGTTTTTCTCCCTTAAAATAGTAGCATGAGCTAAAAGGAAGAGGAAGGAGTACCTAAGATTGGTAGGAATAGGAGGCATCGGGAAAACTGAGCAAATCTCTAGCTCCAATACTGGAGCAGAAAATTTAGCTTTAGGCTTTCCTCCATGTTCCTATTCCCATCACTCTTAGAGTCTCTCTTTCTTCCTCTTCCCTGCTCACTTTCAAGCCAAAGAACTACACAACTTTAACAATAAGACTCAGAGCTGTTGAAAAATGGCTAGTATCGTGTGATATATATAAGGGTCTAGTGAAGTCCTCTAGACTGCACAGAAGCCCTGTGAGCAAATCAATGAACAAACCTAGTGCATGGTGCACCATAGCACACAGAGGTCAATGACAGTGGGCCACATAAACTTACTGTTAAGGTAGGACATCTATGGATGTGAATTAGACAATGTTATTTCTATGCATATATAAAAGGTCTGCTAGACTGTAACCTTGGGCCTTGCATTTACTGAAAGGGTAAGAAAGGGACACTCACATTCTTATTAAGAACGTGAGAAGGGAGGGTGCAGGAAAAGATGGTACTTCACATATGTCATGAACCTAATCTCTGGTTCTTGTGCATAGAGAGACACTACAAACTTCCTGAGGCAGTCAAATAGTGAATATCAAGTGTTAATGACTTGAAATTTTAACTTGAGTAATAACAAAACAGTACAAGGAATTAATACTGCTACGATCCTATAGAAACTATAATGTGTGAAAGCGTGCATTATGTATTTTTACCCTATGGAGCAAGAGGTCCAACAAATATTATGTTCACTAACAACAGGAAAACAATATGGTACAAATAGATATATAGCACCTTGATTTTTCATACTGAGAGAACATCAGGAGACAGTTAACATAATATAATCCTAGTAAAAGCACACTCAGGTATCAACATTTTCTCATCATGTGTGTTCTGTCCACCCCAAAGTGATTTTACATGTTGATCATGATATTATTTTCAGTCTAAAGTACATCTTCTGAAGCTTCCTGTATTTCCAGGACATGCTTAATTCGAAATAAACAGGATGAATGAGGGATCTTGAAGAGCACCAGGTAGCTTAGTTTGGTCTAAACTTTACCAGAATGTCGAAGAGATTGTGGGTGATCCCAGATATCTTGTACATAAGGTGAGAATATAGTAACCTCTCCTGTTGGAAATACAAAGAAAACTGAAGCTCCAAATAGGGATAACCTCCAAATATGTTCTCACTACAATCTTGCTATTGCTAATCGCAGTACCATTACAAAGCTCCATGAGTTCACGGTAAAAAAAAGTTCTCTGAGTTGAATGATACCACCCAATCAGAGTGCCACAGAGATGTGGCCTTGGATTCCACATGCCATTTTCACAATGGATGACATTTTTCAATTTACAATCTATTTGCAGTGACACTGATCTAATTTTTTCTTGAAAGAAATAGTGATATATATGTGCCATTATATGTGTTATCACCTAAATGTGCCCCTTTGGCTGTGCTTCATCTGCTAAAGCATCTTGTATCCAGGACAGGCTTAATCTGAAATATGCTGGCAGAATTAGGAATTTTGAAGAGTGGCAGGTTATTAGCTTAGTATCTAGATCTCACTCTCTAGGAAGCAGTAGGGAAAACCCCTTTTTTCTTCCAAAAGAAGATATGTAATAAACCCTCGTTGAGGGCTAAAGAAATCATAACTAAATTACTGTTTGACCATTGCACAAGTGATTGTGTCCATTTGTTGCCTGGTACGCATCTTGCCGTATGTTTTCTTGATAGCCTATTTCGTTGAACTTAGATGAGAGGATTATAGCAAACTCACTGGAGTGTAGAATGTTGGAAGCTCAAGATATGATTTCTCACTGTTATTAACTTATTATACTGCCCCTCTTGCTAAAAAATGATAATTTAGAGCCCATTTTATTGCTGCGTCATGGCCTGTGTAATCTTACTAGGAGTAGGAGCAGTTACTATTGACTTGTTACAAATGGCCTCTGGTATTCATGATACATGTACTGTTCTCTCCATTGTTCTGCTTCAAGTATTATTCTTCACAAGAGTGTTCTGAACAAATTATCAGTCTAAGTTATGGAATAGAAACACTTCAACATGAAATAAATACATGAATTTATATCCCGACAGAAAAAAAACTGTTCCTTATTTAATTTGGTAATATTCTTAGATGATGTAAGCATCCCATAATTATGCATCTTATGGATATATTCCTGAACAATCAAAAGCTAACTTTTATGTCATTATTTTAATAGATTGACACTAAACTAGGCTATGCCATCATTTGAACTTTGGTAAGCAAAACATGCTGAAGTAAATGAAATTTGGACTCTGCTGCTTGAACAACTAAACTATACAGTCCTTCTAAATTTTTGTGAGACCAAAGGAAGAGGAAGGAGCACCTAAGAACAATAGGAATGGGAGGCATTAGGAAAGTTGCAAGCCAAGTCTCCACAAACATGGAGCTTGCACTTTCCTCCATGTTCCCATTCCTACAGCTCTTAGACCCTCTGTCTTCCTCTTCCCAAGTTCACTCTCTAAGTCCCATCACCCGAAATGGAAGCCTTTTTCCTACTAAGACAAATGTGCAAGCCAAGAAGGAAGGGGAAGGAGCACCCAAGAACAATAGGAATGGGAGGCATCAGGAAAACACAAAGCAGGATCTCCTTTGGAGGAAATTTAGAGCTCATGCTTTCCTCCATGTTCCCATTCCCACTGCTATTGAACCCTCTCGTTCTTCCTCTTCCCTGGCTCACCCTCCCTATTACCAAGTCCTGAAGTTTCAGAACTCAGAGAAATGAGCTGTGTGAGTATATATAGATCATTTGGCCTGTGCTATGGAGAAATATATAAGCAACAAGGACTCCTACTGCATGATGCCCTATAGGACATACCAGTGATGGCAGTGAGGGCCACAAAATTCTGTGCTGTAAATGTAGATCAACATTTGTGGTTGTGGGGAAGATCTTCTGTCCTTGCATAGTAACATATACAAAAAACTGCCAGCTTAGTCCTGAACCGAGCTGTGCATGTACAAGCTGAAGAGAAAACAAAAGGAGGATGCATGGGGTAATAGAGTTAGACACATCTAACTTTGTGGTCCTTGTTGGATCTTTGGCAAAGAGGATGCATAACACAAAAGAAAAATAATCTGAAAGAAGAGTGTTGTTATCATCATAATTAAAGTTCTCGTAGAATTGGTACAATTCAATAAAACTGGGGCATTGCCCTGTTATTCTATAACATTCCGGGTACAAACAAAGTTGCAGTAATTAAGAGGGGAACAAAATTAGACCAACAAACGAAAACACTATTTGGACTTCACAACAGGGGAAGTGATGGATTTGAACTTCAATAACCTTGATCAATTAAATTGCCTGATAACTTTGTGCAGATTTTAGGGCCATATTTTTGTTTTTTACGTATGGTGCTCAAAGCATCCAGATCACTGATCATCAATCCGATGGGCATGCACTAGCATGCCACTGAAGGATTGCATCCATCATGTTTCCGATTCTTCAGCATGATACCATGTGATGCTCAAACTATACTTGTTGTACACTAGATGACTAGGACATGCCAGTTTCAGCATGTACTGATGGCAAATCGACCTTCAGGTTGGTTAGGCATGTACTGAACTGCTGATGGCAAATCGACCTTGTGATGCTGCTAACTAATTGAAGCTGCCTAATGTTGGACTTCGAGTAGAAGCAGCAAGTATGTCTTCTCAGTGCCACTGCCCACTGGCATTCAGTCTTCTTGCTGATCTCCCTTGTAGACAAAATGAAAACAAGCTTGTGATGCTGGATGGAGTGATTGGAGCCAATCAGTTGCATATGATTTAATGTTCTAACTCCCTCCATGCCGAGTGACTTATTGCTGTTTGAAAATATGGAAAATTTCTTTCTGTCCAAATACCAAATGTTTCTAACATGTGCTTGAACTCTTAGTTACGTCCTAGTGACCGTCTGAATTTATATTAACATTGTGTTAAGGTTCCCACTATGCCACTATGATAGAAGTTGTGTATGTAATGCTGAGTTAATTAGTGTAAATTCTCATGGTTACAATGACTTAGGTGAGTGATAAGTGAGCAATTCACAGAAACATGAGCAGTTCAGCATATGGCTTCTAGTTTAGGGAGCCATGTCAAAAGTTTGTACCTTGTGTTGTTTTTCAGAATTTTATATTCTGAATTTGTTTTTGTGCATTATTATGCATCCTTTTTACATGAAAAAGGATACAACTATTCACTGTTTTGTACAATGCAGAGTGTAGGAAATCAGTTAGAAGTTATGATGGAGATAAAATTGATTCTATACATTTGTACTGTAGATGTTTTGGTTGCCAAAAACTAAAAGTCTCTGGTCTCCTAAAATTGAATATGTTCTAGCCAAATTAAGTCCAAAGGCTAGGCATGTCCGATGCATGGATCTAAACCATCTTTCTCCTGTACATTATGCAAGCTGAAAGGAAGAGGAAGGAGTATCTAAGGACAATAGGAATGGGAGGCACTAGGAAAACACAAAAACATTATCTTTACCCCCCACTTCTAGTGGACGAGAAAGACGCTGTAGGCTTTCCTCAATGTTCCCATTCCGATTGCCCTTAGACACTCAATTTCTTCCTCTTCCTTACTTGCTATAAAATTATCGAAGCCTGCAATCAAAATCAATACACAGATGTTGTTCTATTTTCTTTGCTCAAGTAGACTGCAAGCCAAAAGGAAGAGGAAGGAGCACCCTAGAACCATAGGAATGAGAGGCATCAGGAAAACATGAAACTAAGTCTCGACCTCCAATGTAGAGGAGACATTAGCTCTTAGACTTTCCTTCATGTTCTCATTCCTACATTTCTGAGATCCTCTCTTTCTTCCTCTTCCTGGCTCACCTTCTTGATGAAGGCTTTCAGAGTGAGAAGCTGAATCCGTAGAACCAACCCATAGGTGGAGCCTGGAGTATATATATAGAGCCTTTACTGTAGTGTGTTGACAATGTACACAAGTAGTGAATGCCTGGATGGTGAATTGGTGACACATTAGTAAGTCATAATAGCCAGAGAAAGTGGAGCTATGGGGCAATGCATTTATTAATTTGGATTCCTTAATAATGAGAATGCAAATTTGTAGCAGAAGTTCCTTTGCTAGTTCTGCAGCTGAGGTGCCACTACTATGTAAAATCAAGGAATTGCATGGCCAATAAATTTAGCTTTTTGGTGATTCTGAATTTATTCATGAAAATTTCTGCTGATTTTTGTATATTCTTATTTATGCTTTCTGCTTTATATTTCTGTATGGAACCAAGCAATAGTGTGTCACAATAATACAGCTCGAAAAAGAATAGCATTTGATTTAGCTTATCAACAGAGTCTATATATGGACATATGGTATCCTCAAATCAGGAAGATAAATTTTTCAGTATTACCATATTACTGTAAGCCTTAATTCCCAAGGACTTGAAGATCCAAATTGACATTGTGCATGATAGCATGAACAAACAAACCCATGACATCGATCCATTTGATTGATTGTACACATGCTGAAAGTATCATGAACTACTTTTTTTTTTTTAAAAAAAAAGACTAGAAGGTAAGCATTGACATTCTTCTTCTCCTTTTTTTTCCCCTTGATCATGCATGTAAGCAGCCTAATAAAGCTCTCTGTCCTGTCCTTGTTCTGCTGTATCCATATATTCATTCAGTACATGTTGGTTTTCAGTCTTCAGCTATGCATCAAGTAATTAGAATGCAAGAAGAACATGGAAATGAAGGAATCTTGAATATCATCATTTCGCCTCTGCAAAGTTTCAGAGATATTAATGATGTAAGTATTTTATTTAATTTTTAGTGAGGCATATATATAGGTGCTGCCATTCCCTTTCTGATTGAGAATTAAAAGGTGCATATAGATGCTAATATATGTTTTGTCCAATTCTTTGTTATGTTCATGTGATGGGGAGTATCTCAGTAGTGTCGTTCAATCCATTCGGATCATTTTGCATATTATAGATGCTAAGTGCTTAGTGCTGATATATACTCCATAAATGATATAGAGTTTATATAAAATAAACAGCATACACGCATGTCTCTATGCTGAGCTGCTTAGTTACATCATGTGCATTTGTGCTCTCTTATCTATCTTGACTATGGGTTCATCACTGAAGAACTAGTGATGAGTATGTGCCATTTCTGGATCAAAGAGAAGTAGTGTCATTTAGATGTTATCAAGTATGAATACAGTTTCAAACTAGTAGGGAATGTGGAATTTTTAGACATGTTTAGGAGTGCAGGATTTTTTTAATTGAACCATCTCTCTGAAACGTTAGATAATTAGAGCCCAATTTCTATGCACTACACTCCATTTTCTCTTGTTCTTCATGATTCACTCTAAAATGTCCATTTTCCAGTGTCCCCCTTTTGTTTTCTCTGCGGAAACAATTGAGCAAGTCAAAAGGAAGAGGAAGGAGTGATTAAGAATAATAGGAATGGGAGGCATTGGGAAACACTCAGCCAAATTTCCACCTCTATTGTCAGAGATGGAAACTAAAGGTTTAGGTTTCCTCCATGTTCCCATTCCAACCATTCTTAGACCCTCTTTCTTCCTCTTCCCGACTCACTGCCAAGGCATCTAAATGTGGACATGGATACATTTTGTTTTCTCTAGTAAATTGGTGTTAGCTGAAAGTAAGAGGAACGAGCACCTAAGAACTATAGGAATGGGAGGCATCAGGAAAATCATCAGACCAAATCTCCAATACCAGAGGTTAGAGCTTAATTTGGCTTTCCTTCATGTTCCCATTCCTACTGCTCTTAGAGTCTCTCTTCCTCTTCCTGGCTCACCCTCTTTTTGGCACACAGCTACAAGAAACAGAAGCTTGAACATTTTCTTCAGAGTACTAGAGTATATATAGACCTATGCAGTGCAGGGCTGTGAAGGATAAATGAATTGAATCTGGTAGATGGTGCACAATAGGACACTGAAGTGAATGATCACATATATTGGCCAAGAAACATGTACAAGTCACTGTACAACATCTGCAGGGATGTGATCTTCTGGGTACATCAGAAAGCTGATTGACATAATGAAGAGTAAGCAGAGAACAGTGCAGACACTTGGGATCTTTTGAGAGTAAGAATTCAGAGTGGAGAAAGAGTCAATGTGAATCTGAATTTAAAGTGGATCCTGTGTGAGTGTGGAACATTGCACGTTTCTTTTCTGATACAGATACTTAGCAAAGTTACTTGTACTCAAGTATTAAGCCGTAGCAACACATATGCTGTAACATTAAATTCACTAATGCTATCTGACAAAATAATCACCAGGACTTGAATAGCTAAGCAGTTTTGTCAATCTCTCTTTTGGGTGCTTCACTGTCTTTGGAAACTTAAATGCTCAGGATATAACGGTGATGTGGCCATGTTATAGGTCATATTAACTTCCAAAACGTTTTATCTGACAGTATTAACCTTCAATTTCTCATAGGTTTCATCTATCAAATTTTGCTAGATTTCAGAATAGGCACCTTGTTCTACACTTATACATCTTTTCAGAATGCCCACCTAGTAAATAGTTTTTGCAAGAACAAACGACATGTTTAGAACAAAACACCATCCATACATCAATACCATGTTCACTTTTGCATGCACTGATTAATACATAATTTGTTTGGCTTTCAGGGACTGGATTCTGATGAATAAACATGGTTGATGTCAATGAGCAGACGATTGGATCAGCTTGGACTGAACACGTACTATTTTCTGACTGCAAGTCCAAGGAGAGTAACAAGTAATTACACTGTCACCCTGCATTCCTTCTACAAAATTATTAAAATGGAACTGTCAAAATTTACTTCATGGTTGCAACAATGGGCATATTTACTATGAAATAAAAACAAAGACATGATTACGTGGGCTACAATAAAAACTGATGAATGCAATAGAGGAGATGCTGGTGAAGGCCTGTTTTTTACAATGGGGTGGTGCTGGATGATTTTCCTCCAAAATTCTGTGCGAAATTATTACTCTCACTCTCAGTCAATTTTGATATGCCTACCCTACGCTTCATTTTTTTCTTGTTCTTCATGATTCACTCTAGAATTACCATCATCCAATGTCCTCTTCTTTTAGTTTTCTCTGCTGAAACATTGAGCAAGTCAAAATGAAGAGGAAGGAGTGATTAAGAATAATAAGAATGGGAGGCATTGGGAAACACTCAGCCAAATTTCCACCTAGAGATGGAACAAGCAGTTTCCTCCATGTTCCCATTCCCAGCATTCTTAGACCCTCTTTTGTGGACTGTAAATGCTAGGACTATCTCCCATGATGGATTCTTTGTTTCTTTCTTCTCAGAGAGGAAGAATTTCTGACAGCCTGTGGATTGTTTTTTAGATCATGACAGCCTGCGGAATGGATCAAAGAACACCTTAATGCATATTAGAAACATCAGCGGTTCAGCATATGACTTATAGTTTGGTGAGCCATGTCAAAAATTTGTGCTTTGTGCTGTTTTACAGAATATCATATTCTGAATTTTCTATGCATCATTGTGCATCCCTTTTGCATGAAAAAGGATTACTATCGATACCATGTTGCACAATGCAGTATAGGAAGTTAATTAGAAGAGACTGAGGTTGTAATTTGTTCAATATGTAGATGTTTTGATGGTTAACTAACTGTTTGGTTTCTCCAAAATTTGAATATAATCTGCCAAACCAACTCCAGAGGGTAGGCACATCTGATTCATGGATCTAAACAGTAAATACTCTTTGCCCTATACTTTGTACAAGCCAAAAGGAAGAGGAAGGAGTATCTAACAACAATAGGAATGGGAAGCATTAGGAAAACACAAAAGAATTATCTCCACCCCTAATTCTAGTGGAGAAGAAAATACTGTAGGCTTTCCTTAATGTTTCCATTCCCACTGTTCTTAGACACTCAATTTCTTCCTCTTCCTAACTCGCTATAAAACTATCGAAGCCATCCAAATCAATACATAGATGGTTTTCGCTTAGGCAGATCATGCAAGCCAAAAGGAAGAGGAAGGAGCACCTAAGAACAATAGGAATGAGAGGCATCAGGAAAACATGAAACTAAGTTTCCACCTCCAATACTAGAGGGGACAATAGAGCTTAGGCTTTCCTTCATGGTCTCATTCCCACAATTCTGAGATACTCTCTTTCTTCCTCTTCCTGGCTTGCTTTCTTTGTAGAGGCTACTATATGGGAGAGCCTGGAGTATATATAGAGCCTTTACTGTAGTGAATGCTTGGATGGTGGATTGGTGAGGCACTGAGGCCATAGCATCCAGTGACAGTTGGGGCTCCTCTTAACTCTTAAGAATGAGAACGGAAAGCACAGCACGAGTTCCTTTGCTTGCCCTGCAGTTAATGTGAACCCTCTTTCTAAATCAAAGAAATGCACAGGCAGTAAATTTAGCTTCTGTGTGACGTCGTTAACAAATAATGATAATTTAGCATCTTGGTAATTTTGTATGTATTTATACAGTGTCTGCTAATTTCTTTATATGAGTTTCAATGTTTTATTTTTATATTTATGGAACCAAACAAATAGTACGTTATTAAGTTGCAGCTCTGAAAATAAAGTCCATATATAGTAGTAGCCTCAAACCAGGAAGGTAAATTTGCTACCGTTATTGCAAGGCTCAAGTCCTAAGGTATGGCTGATTTAAATTAACATGGCACATGACAGCATGAACAAATAACCCTCAATATTGATCCAGTTGATTAATACACGCTGAAACTATCCTGAACTGCTTTTTTTTAAAAAAAAGAAAAAGAAGAAGTGGAGAAATCATGAACTAGAAGCTACGACATTTTCTTTGTTTTTTCCCTGATCATGAGCAGCCCAGTAAAGCTTTTCTTTCTTTTCCTTGTTTCGCTGTATGTGTCGATTCATTGGGTATATGTTGGTTTTCAGCTCTTCAGCCATGCGCAACGGCATCAAATAACTCGAATGCAGGAAGAACAAGGAAATGAAGAAATCGTGAAGGGCATCATGCAACCTCTGCAAAGTTTAAGAGATATTAATAAACTCAAATATTCTTGTTTCAATTTTGGTGAGAGGCGTATATATAGGTACTACCTTTCTGTTCGGACTAAGTTACAATGTGCAAATAGATGCTAATTTATGTACTTGTCCATTTGGTTGATGTTATGTTCCATATGAGATCTCAATAGTGACAGTTCATTTTGCATATCGTAGCTGCTAAGTGCTGATATATATAAATGATGTACAGTTTGCAATGTTACTTCATGCATGCACGTCTCTATGCGAAGCTGCTTCGTCACATTAGGTGTTTTTTTTTTTTACCAAAACATTAGGTGTATTTTTGCTCCATCATCTATCTTGACTATGGGCTCACCACATAAGAACTAGTGATGAGTATGTGCAGTTCATGGTTCAAAGAAACATATCTGTCATTTTAGATGTTATCAGATACGCATACGGTTTCAAACTAGTGGGGAATATGTGGAATTTTTAGACAGGTTTTGGAATGCAGGGTTTTTCTCAGTTTTTTTTAATTGAACCATATTCTTTTGAAAGGTTAGATAAGAAATATTAGAGCCCAATCCTTTTTGTTCATATGACTTACTACATACTATCTGACTATCTGTCTTTTTCATGATTCACTAAAATATCATGTCATCCAATGTCCTCTTCTTTTCTTTTTCTCTGCTGAAACAATTGAGCAAGTCAAAAGGAAGAGGAAGGAGTGATTAAGAATAATAGGAATGGAATGTATTGGGAAACACACAGCCGAATTTCCACCTCTATCGTCAGAGATGGAAACTAAAGGTTTAGGTTTCCTCCATGTTCCCATTCCAACCATTCTTAGACCCTTTTTCTTCCTCTTCCCGACTCACTGTCAAGCCATACATCTAAATGATTTTGTTCTTCTCTACTAAATTGGTGTTAGCCGAAAGTAAGAGGAACAAGGACCTAAGAACTGTAGGAATGGGAGGCATCAGGAAAATCGTTATACCAAATCTCCAACTCCAGGAGTTAGAGCTTGGTTTGGCTTTCCTTCATGTTCCCATTCCTACTGCTCTTAGAGTCTCTATCCTCTTCCTGGCTCACCCTCTTTGGCACACAGCTACAAGAACACTTTCAGAAACCAAGCCTGAACCTCTTGAACATTTTCTTCAGGGCTCTGGAGTATATATAGACCTATGCAGTGCAGGGCTGTGAGGGACAAATGAATTGAATCTGGTAGATGGGGCACAGTAGGACACTGAAGTGAATGACATTTACTGTGACTGAAGTGAGATCTTCTGGATACTACATCTAAAAAGCTGACAGCGGGCTGTGTTTAGTTCCACGCCAAAATTGGAAGTTTGAAGGAATTGGAACGATGTTACGGAAAAGTTGAAAGTTTGTGTGTGTAGGAAAGTTCGATGTGACGAAAAAGTTGAAAGTTTTAAGAAAAAAGTTTGAATCTAAACATGGCATGATATAATGGACAGGAAGCAAAGAACCATGCAGTCACTCGGGGAGTCGGGTCTTTAAAGTATATGAACTGAAACTGGTGAAAGAGTCGATGCGAATCTGCATTCAAAGAGGATCCTGTGAAACATTGCACGTTCTCTTCTGCATACTTGTGCAAAGTTCTACAAATACAGGAGGAACATGTAGTCTAGCTTATTACATAAACATGTTACTCTTGATTGAAAAATACAACTACATGTTACTTGTACTCATGGAAGGCATTGTCTCAATTATTAAAAATCAGTAGCAAACTGCAATACATTGACTGCAACATTAGAGGCACTAATTATATCTGACAGAGTAATCACCGAGAGTTGAATAGCTAAGTATGGATTCAGTCTTATACATACACGTGAGAAAGGTAAAAAAGAAAAAAAAAGAAAGAACGAAAGAAAGAAGACGTGTTCAGGAATCAGGATATAGTGGTGAAGTAGCCATACTAGGAGTAACATTCACTTCCAAATGTTTGAGTGACAGTATCAAGCTCTCGTCAGAGGTTTCATGATTTCATATGGCAAAATTTGCTGGATTTCAGAACAAGAACCTTGTTCTACACTTCACTTCTAAAGCACAACTGGAGAAGATGATAAATGGCCACCTAGTAAATCTCTTTGCAAGAACAAACAGCATTTTTAGGACAAAATGACATCCATATATCAACAGCATGTTCACTTTAAACGCATAATATCTTTGACTTTCAGGGACTGAATTCCGATTAACATACTCTTTTTTTTGCCGGGTTGGCCGAAGACAAGGCCAACCGATTTCAGTAAGTTTTTTTTTGGAGAAAACTACAAAGTACAATTTTGACATCGACAGCAGGCACTAGGCAGTACAAATTCATCTTGTTAAGTCCCCGAGATGAACATATACTAATTAACTCATCGTAGATGCCATTGATCTCATGGTCATATGCATTCTTCATACCTGAGAGTCGCCAGCAAATGATGGACCAGCTTAGACTGAACACCTGTGAAACCTAACGAGAGTAATCGAGTGATCACGCTGTTATGTTGAGTCCCTTCTGCAAAATGCTCTGTATTTTTGTGGACTGGAAATACTACGGCTGTCTCCCATGGTCGATTCGTTCTTCTTCTCAGAGAGGAAGAATTTATTTCTGACAGCCTGTGGAATTGAAACAACCAGAGAGATACACACAAAGGAAGAAGAAGAAAGGGGGAAAATGTTGTTTAGAACTCCAGGTCCATCTAGTGATCTAAATGTGCTAAAGAATGCAAGAACAGAGTGATGTAGGATCATGTGCACTGATCTGTTGTTAATGTTGGATATATCATAAAGACAAGCAGTTACCAGTCTGATGCCACAAATTACCACCACATTTGCTTCTTCCTTTGTGTTCTTCCAGAGTTCGGGAACATGTTCATGTTTTTCTTTCGTTTTTTTTCCTGGTGTATCTACTAGTAGTCTCTATTGCAAGTTGGAATCTTAGTTTGCTATCATTTGGCATGAACAGAATCTTTGTTTGTTATCATTGCCATCATTTGTCATGAACAGAGTGGTTGAAAGTTGGATTCTTTTTTTTCTGATTCATCTACTTTCTCTAATTGCTATCATTTGTCATGATCATGTTTTTACTTGTCTGAACTCTGAAGAGAGGTCATATCAGATATAATCAGCAAACTGATGGTAGCAAATTTTTACATACTAAAGTCAAAACCAGTAAGCCAAGCTACCATCCTATGCTTATGCAAGAAAACATGCCAAAGGAACAAAGCAAAGAAAATACTGAAACAAACCAACAGATGAACAGATGGGATGAAATGAACTATGAAGAACAAAGCACACCAAGCTATGCATCCAGTTCATATATTTTGCGAACAAAAGGAAGAGGAAGGAGCACCAAGGAACAATAGGCTTGGGAGGCATCAGGAGAACTCATAACTCCATCTCCAATCTCATGCGAGGATTGGAGAGGGGCTTAAGCATTCCTTCATGTCCCCATGCCCACTGCTCCTTGGCCCTCTTTTCTTCCTCTTCCGATCCCGCCTTCGAAGATCTCAAGCTATCCAAAATATGTGTTCTAATTTCTCCATTAAAGTAATCGTGCGAGCTGAAAGGAAGAGGAAGAAGTGCTTAAGAACGATAGGAATGGGAGGCATCGGGAAAAAACCAAACCAAATTTCCACCTCCATTGCTGGAGGAAGAAATTTGGTTTTTAGGCTTTCCTCCATGTTCCCATTCCCACTGCTCTTAGGCTCTCTCTTTCTTCCTCTTCCTGGCTCACTCTTGTCCTGAAACTCTGAAACCAGAAGGCTCAATTGTTCAAGGTCTCCAGCTCCAAGGTATTTATAGACAATGTAGTGCAAAAGTGCAAACAATGGCATGGTGGTGCACAATTTGACCTACAGTCAATGACAATGGGGCCATGGAATGACACTGACCTGTTCTGTGCGGCACATGCAGGGTGGAGATCTTCTTACCCATATCCAAAAAGGCACATGTTGTATTATAAAAGGGGAAAAGTTGGGTGAAGAAAAGGGTCATTCCTTTCAGATTGTTTGAGAGAGATGGTAGCATGGGGCAAGAGAATAGATGTTGTCTTGTTTAGGTGAAGTAATATTGAGGGGATTACAGAGAATGATAGAGAAATTTAGATGAATTCCATATAATATACAAAAGAGAAAAAACATTGCAGTGAAAATTACCCCTTTTGATAGCAGAAAATAGAACAGAATACAAGGTACTCAAGACATGAATTGTTTCAAGAAACAACCCTGATTAGAGATATTCCAATTCCATATGAGCTAAATAAACAAAACCAAAATGTATATGTATTGTGTAAGCATTATGATGTACAAGTTCTGAGCTGTGGACAGGAGCATGCAAGCAGAGAGACATATAAGGAAACAAACGCATTTGATTTCACAAACTAAAACGAAAACTATCAGGAGCCATCAACCACAACCCCTCGGCAGAAAACACATCAAGATGTAGTGGTCGTATATTCAGGTTGAATTCACTGTACACATTGCTGTCTGCTGAACCACCTAGTATTTCCTGAACAAGGTTCGGACACAAAGGAAGAACGAGGTCTTGAAGAGAGTTCGGTACTTCTTCCACCCACCGAAGAACTTGCCAATTGCAACCTTGTAGCTGGGCCTCTGCTTCACCAATGTGTAGTACTCGAGTAACCTAGGTCTGCAGTTGATGTATTCCTCATCAAGGTCCAAAAGAGTGATGCGTGCGAGGATAGGAATGAACACCGAATCCGCAGGCGAGAATTCATCGCCAGCAAGGTATTTGCCATTGTTGAGCTGTGCTTCAACATCATCGAGGAGTTTGCTCAGCTCCTCCTCGCTTTGCTTCATAATGTCAGGATCCTTCAATTTGTCTTCGGTCTCATAAGCCTCACGGAGCTTAGCATGGTACATGCTGGCTAAATCTGGGGCTTCAGCCATGCGAGCAATCAGCACTCGCCGTATGAACTTGGAGACAAACGTGCGGTACTTGATCGGGGTGTGAGTGAGAGTGAACATCTTCGGATTCCAACTATCAACTTTCTGCATCCATTGGTAAACCTCAGTGTTCACAGGGACGATTTCACCACTTAAATGCACCGAAAGCCTGTCAAGGTACCTATGACAACATCGAAACAGATAAATGAGCATTCATATGTCATGCCTGATCAGCAAAGTTAAACATGGCCATCATCTTTGAACCCGCGATGTGAATGAGGAAACATACTGAATTATATCGAAGGCCCGATAAATGACATGGGCGCCGTTCTGGAAGACGGGGAGTTTCGCAGAAGGGTTCATGCGAAAGAAGGCCACGTTCATGTTCTTCCCGGTCAGTGGATTGACATGGTATGAGGTGTAGTCAATACCCTTCTCTTCCAGTGCCATCCGCACTTTCTGACTATCCAGCGAATACGGGTGGTGATATAGCTGCATTGCTGCAGTAGCAGCAAAGAAAGATGCAATCAGTACAAATTCTCAATGACTATCAGTGGAACATGACGAACAAGCGTGCAAGACTGCAAGTGGTCTAAACTAATAATCGTTTATGTAATTAAAAATACAAATCTCATTATCTCAACAGAATTTCATGACAGGGGTCTAGTTGGTGTCCACACAAGTACACAAGTACGCGGAGAAAACCGCACAACATGCACTGTCGAACACAATTTGATCGAAAATCCAGTCTGTATTCTTTCTTGGACGTATTTTCTGCATATCTTCCGCTGCTAGTTTATCAAGAAGATACTAAATTGTACCAATTGTACCGGCCAAAAAAGATCTGCCTTTTTCATATAAATCCTAAAAAAGTGGGGCAAGAACCACCAATCACGCTTTGCCCCGATCAAATCTCAATACAAAACGCATGCTTTTCAGTGCAAAATCACAAAAGAACTTTCAGGACGAACAGAAGCATCAGAAAGCTTATGCAAACCGCTCTGCAAGAAAGGGGGGGAAAAGAATACCACTTTCCACTTTCCATGATCTTTGCCATTCGTCCCAACCCCCCAAATTAAGCTCCACGTAACCACCGCAACACACGGACCAAATCTAAATCCCAAGAAACAGCCAAAATTCCAGTCGGAGATCAACCAAAACCCCACCCATCCAGTCCACTCGTCTGCTCGACTGCTCTCGCATCAAATCCTCTCCCAACTCCCAACACACGCCGAGGGGAAGAAAGAGAAAGAAGAAACGGGAGGAAGGAAGGATGGCCGCCCAACCGTACCTCCACAGAAACGGGGTGAGCCGCCGGAGACGGAGGCAGCGGGGGAGACTCTGGAGATGCTTCGCGAGAGATTCTTCCTTCTTCCTCCCGGGCGGTGAGAGGAGGCGCGTTCTTGGGTCCGCGCGTGTACAGCGGCAGCAGCAGTTGCCAGTTGGGTAGTAGGAGCACTTGCACTTGGGTGGGAGTGGGAGAGGAGAGCGGTTTTGTTCTTGATTCTCCTCGTCCTGGCTGGATGTTTTTGAACTGTGGTTAATAAATACTACTAGTACTTCGTCACTCTACTCTGGGTGTGTTTAGTTCCTCAAAAAAAAATTGAAAGTTTGAAAATAAGTTGAAAGTTTACGTGTGCAGGAAAATTTTTATGTGATATAATATGATGGAAAGTTGAGAATTTGAGAGAACTAAACACGGCCTCTGTGTCTAAGGTTTCTTTATCCATTGTTTGATTTTTTTTATTTTGAGAATTATATAGTACAACACATACCCTTGCAACGTATGCACACTCACCCCTATAAGCATCTTCGAAGATTAAGCCGGCAAATCCATACTGAAGATGGATGAAATCATTACAGGCGTGTTCGTTTTATTTAAAAGAATGAATAAAAACAATAAAAATAATAAGTGATGCATAAAGTACTATTTATATTCTATTATATAGTAATAATAAAAAATACTAATTATAATTTTTTTTAAAATAAGACGAAGAGATAAATGTTGTATAAAAACAAAAAAATAAAGTTTTTTCTTTTGGGGAAGGGAGTAAGCTTTTTTTTTTTCTGGGTTGTCATTCCTGTGTTCCACCCTCTCTTTGGTTTTGATGCTTGTGTGGCGTGGTGTGTTGCAATTGCAAACTTCCACCTGGTTTTCTCTGGTCGGTGGGGGGTTGATTATCCAAATGGACGTGGTGCGTGCACCCAGGGTTTGATCCCCACAAGGCACACGTTTGCTATCCAGGCTTGTTTCTGAGAGCTTGGTCGCCCGTATATTCTAATAAATCAAAACGGTTTATTAGGAAATAAAATTTAATTTATAGGTAAAGCTTTTATATTTGTTTATAGTGACACAAAATCTATACTGGAAAAAATTACGTTAAAAATATCTTAAAATCAACTTTAAATTCAATTTTTTCCAAAAAAAAACTTTAAATTCAAGTTTGAAAATTTAAATTTTGGCTTTTGCTTTAGTTTATTAGGTCAACCGATGGAGCTCTGATTTTTTATGCTTAGTGGAAACTCAAGTCCTGAATTACAGAGGGTTTGTTACACAGACGAATTGTCGAACTAAACTTTTCAAAAAATGAATGATGTTGAAATATAGTCAGAATTAGGTAGTAGTACTACCTCATTTTGGTCGGTCCACTTTAGTTACTTCAAAGTAAACTAACCTTACTCCCAAAACAAGTCAATTTCTAGGGTTCAAAATTTATCTAAAAAAAAGTTGACTTTTAATCTTCTACCTCCTCTCGGTTAAAATTTTACAAAAATTCCCTTCAATACCGATTATTTAATGACCCCCCCTATAATTTTATTAATGAGGGGATGTTGTACTATATATATTTTCTTTGGGATGCTATAATCTTTTTTTTTTGGGAAAAAGAGTGTTTTCGAAATGGTAGTGAAACATTAAAATTTTAAAATATAGAGGGGGTTGGTTCATTATTTAGCCTTTGGAACAACATTATATGAAAATAAGTTGTGCAGTCTATATGAAATTTTGGTCTCAATAAATATGGTTACGTACTTAAGGGGTGTTTGAGGAAGAAGAAAGGAGAAGATTAATAAGATATGAAAAACGAGGTGAGCTATTATGTATAATTAATTAACTATTAATTATTTTAAACTTAACAAATGAATTAATATTTTTTAATAGCTTTCCTATAGAGCATTTAAAAAAACACATTGTTCTCTCAGTTCAGGAAATATGCAAGCGGAAAATTATGTATTTTTCCCTCTTCGTCCTCTGAATTGAACGCAACCTCAATTAAGGTGGAGATCAAAAGTTGTAATCGCATAAAAACAAATATGAGTTTCTAGTCTAACTTTGGTGAGGTCAAAAGGGACGTTATTTACCTATTTGCGCAGCAAATACTCGTCTTTTGTCTTGGAGAAGATTAACCCAGAAATTTCGTGGAAGACTTTCAACTATCTAAAAACCGAGTTGCTGGCGAACTTTTTCTACACTTGACGACATATGCTTTCAAAATTTCACTTGACGTGCTGAACTTTTCTACGTACAGATCGTTTAATTTTTAGCCAAACCAAACCAAACCAAACCATCTTGCTATCTTGCGGGCAGCTTCGGACCAATCAGAGCATATCTGTGCGTGATTATTCTCACAGAAATCAGAGCAGCTAGCTTCTTCTGTACTGGCGCGCGTGATCCAAGCGATTTTCCGGTGGCGGGGCCTCCGGTCGCGGAGACGCGGGAGCAGCCAAAAGCGTGTGACGCTTAAAACCTCATCATCACGACGAGTTCCCATCGCGATCGCGATCGCGTCCAGCTAGCTCTAGCTCGATCCTGCTCGGTGCCGTGCCGCCCACCCGCACGCCACGCGTCGCGCACGCTGATCCGCGCACAGATGCGCGGGGGACGGCCTCCGGCACGACTTCACGAGCCACCGAGTGTACAGCCAACTATCGGCAGCTATAAGAGCAGGTAAAATAGGAGGCTATAAGCTAGCTATAAACATATCTATTATATTATTAAAACAGTTTTGAAAGGAGACACCACGTTCGCTGTGGGGGCTAGAAATTCTCACATTAATCGGAGAAAAAGAAAAAGAAAGAAAAGAGAGTCTAAATAAAAATACAATATAAAAATAGCTGAAATTCAGAATTAAAAATAAGCAATATTGAAAGAAGTTTCCATATAAGTACCCAATACAAGAATAATCAAAATTCGAAATATAAATAAAATAAAATCTAAAATTAGAAAAAGAGAAGGATAATCCAGGTAGGAATACAATTTTAAAATAGCTGAAATTCGGAATTAAAAATAAGGAATATTAAAAGAAGAGTTCATATAAGAACTCAATACGAGATTAATCAAAATTCAGAATAAAAATAAAGTAAAATCTAAAATTAAATGAGAGTTCAAGTAGAAATACAATTTAAAAATAGCTGAAATTCGGAATTAAAAATAAGCAATATTGAAAGAAGTTTCCATACAAGAACCCAATACGAGATTAATCAAAATTCGAAATAAAAATAAAATAAAATCTAAAATTAGAAAAATAAAATGATAGTCCAAGTAGGAATACAATTTTAAAATAGCTGAAATTCGGAAATAAAAATAAAAATTATTAAAAGAAGAGTCCATATAAGAACCTAATACGAGATTAATTAAAATTCGGAATAAAAATAAAAATAAAGTCTGAAATTTGAAAAAAAAATAAAAAAAAGAGTTTAAGTAGGAATACAATTTAAAATCCAATACGAGATTAATTAAAATTCAGAATAAAAAATAAAATAATATTCAAAATTAGAAAAATTAAAAGAGAGTTCAAGTAGGAATAAAATTTTGAAACAACTGAAATTGAAAATAAAAAATAAAAATATTAAAAGAACAAAATACGATATTAATTAAAATTTAGGAAAAAATTGAAATTATAAGAAGAAAAATAAGATTTCAATTAGGAATATAATTTATAAATAACTAAAATTTGTGATAAAAATAACGACTATTGAGAGTAAAGACCATCTAAAACACATTACCAGATAAATTAAGTAACAGACTTATAAAGGAGTAGAGTGGTGGCGGTTGATATGACATATAAAAACTGTTAAAAAAACACCAAATAGAATCCTAATGACAATTAAAAGGAGGGACGACAGGCAGGCCATGAAACAAACAAGCAAGGCAGTTGCCGGGACTTCTAGAAAGTTAAAAAAAAACCATTGATAATCAATGACAATAAAAAGAAGAAGGAGCGAGCGGGGTGTATAGGAGTATAGTTGCAGAGCCGCCGATGGTTGACGGGTCTTCTAGAAAATAAAAAATGAATTTCAGCGATAGTTATGTTCGATTTTTAGAATCACAATAACAATAAAGAGTAGGCGGTAAACGGGCCGCAGAGGAGCATAGTGATATCGTTTAATGGGACTTCTAAAAATTATAAAAAATGGAACCCAACAAGACAATAAACTCTAAAAACTACAAGGTCTAATTTTTAAAGGTTCGGAACTACTAAAAAGTAAAAAAAAACCAATGATAATCATGTTCGATTTTAAAATCTCAATGGCAATAAAGAAGGGAGCGAGCGGGTGAGCCGTAGAGGAGTACAATGGCAAAGCCACTGACGGTTTGGTGAGACTTCTTGAAAAGTAGGAAGTAAAAATGAACCCAAACGATAATTATGTTCGAATTTTAAATCTCAATGACAATAAAGAGAAGAGACGGTGGACGGGCCGTAGAGGAGTATAATGGCAACGTTTGACGAGACATCTAGAAATTATAAAAACGAAACTCAACATGACTATAAACTTTAAAAACTATAAGATCTAATTTTTAAAGATTACAAGAAGAATGAATAGAAATAGCGGTAGATCAAGCAAGTAAATAAAGAAGGAGATGACATAAGGGGTAGTAGCTGGTGTGACTTTTAAAAACTATATAATTAGAAACACATGGATGATAAGGTTTGGTCTTTCGAAGTCTTAAGACAATGAGATAGCTAATTAATAAATTTTAAGTAAAATCATAGTAAAAAATATGTTTTGTTTAGGTGCTAGCCGCGCAATTGCGCGGGCCACCCAGCTAGTTTTAAAGAAATAAAAAAAAGAGAAGAGTATCAGGCTACAGCAAAAACTCCAAGACATAATGTATATATGACATGTGGGACCAGTTATTAATAGTATAGTAAGAAACTATTATATAAATTGGCTATTACATTGGCTATAGATGATTTGGAGTTTGTAGTGGGCTATACTATTAAACTTGCTCACTACTAACTCTAAATCATCTATACGTAATGTAATAGCCAATTCATATAATAGTTGTTTACTATACTATTAATACCTGGTCCTACTTGTTATACACACATTACGTCTTGGAGTCTGTGCTGTAGCTGGCTACAGATATGTAGTCCACTGCTCTTCTCTCTCTTCCTTTATCTCTTTAAAATATATTTATAGCTAGCTTATAGCCTGCTATTGTACCTGCTCTAATACAAAGTTAGTAGGGTGTACAATAATTAGCTACTCCCTCCGTCCCCTAATATAAGGGATTTTGGCATTTTAGTTACACTGTTTGATATTGTGCAAATATAAAAAA